AATGTAATCAGATTGTTTTCCCATAGTGATACACACTATCACTAAGTTTGAAGTTTAAATCTCCAGTGGTTCTTGAGATATCATGATAACAATCTCAATGTATGGAATTTCATAAGTTGACCTCTGTGACCCTTGACCTTTGACATACGTGCTCCAAAATCTAATCAGATCGTCTTCCTATGGTGATACATACTATCCTTAAGTTTGAAGTTTAAATCTCAAATGGTTCTTGAGATATCGCGCTAACAAACTCAATACAAGGAATTTCATAAGTTGACCTCTGTGACCTGTGACCTTTGACCTACGTACTCCAAAATCTAATCAGATCGTCTTCCTATGGTGATAAATACTATTCCCGAGTCTTAAGTTTAAATCTTAAATGGTTCTTGAGATATTGTGATAACGGTCAAACGGGACGGACGTACGGACGGACAACCCGAAAACATGATGCCTCCGGCATCACCTTCGGTGGCGGAGGCATAAAAAGGGTGCTTATAAAGTGCTTCCCACCGAAGTCTCTAAGCACTATTTCTGAATATCTGGAAAACAGTTTTTATCCATTCCTTTGTAAAAAATCGAGATTTTCAATTTCATTCTCCTTTGTTCATCAAAAATATTTCAGAAATATCTATTCTTGAAAAGTTGAAAATAATACAAAGCCGTGCTGAAACATATGGTAAAACGATTCCGCTTGAAATGAATTGTGTTACATCTGGAAACAAAGACTGAATTAAAAAATCAATAAGTGTTAAAGGTACTATGTCCCTTTGTCCCTTTTGCAGGCCAAAAAAATGAAAAGGTTAAATTTCAATGGCATTTGAAAGATGATACTAATTTAGAACTCCCCTTAAAAAAATGGGGCTTGAAAATGTCTTTAAGTGGGAAAATAACAACTATTAGTTGTCAAATCTACTTAGGAGGTATAGAGCCATAAGTAACAGTCTCGATTTTCAGACCATTGTACCGCATGGTCGTTCGTGTTAATTTTGGCCATTACAAGAAGTGGGGTATTGATGTAGACAAATCCTTTACAGCTCATTTTATGTATGTTATTACCAAAAAGAAGAAAAGGCCAGTCAGTCACTCAATACTGACAATAGTGTCTGACAGTGAAGTCTAGCAAGTAAAACGGGTTTCCTTGCATAATTTGAATATTAGGACACTGCTAACGTTTAAATTTCACAGACAGGACATACATGACATATTCATAATTCCTGCAAATTTCTACAGAATTTGAGGTTGGCTGCACAAGGGACAAAGTATCTTTAACTGATTTCAATACCGACGCAACAGCTGATGGGGTTTTACACAGAACACAATGTAGTGAGACTCATTCAGTTGTCCTGGCTAACTTATATGTGGTTCTCTCTCTCTCTCTCTTTCTCTCTCTCTCTCTCTCTCTGTCTGTCTCTCTCTCTCACATACACATACACACACTCATAAAATCAATACAATCATAACGCACTATTGAATTTGACCCGAGGATCCGCAACCTGTTCTAAAACCTTTTTTCTACTTAAGTTCAAAATCACTAGGCGTGGACATAAAACTAGATCTAATGTAGCACCTTAAAGCTCTGGAACACTCAATAACTCTTTCTTTGCTGGTATCTGCTTCTTTCGATCATCACAAGAGTTTATCACACCTCCCGTCTTGCTCATCACCTATTAAAGATTACAACGATCATGATATTCAACTTGCTCGATTGGATTTTCTCATGGTGGGCGGCCATTTTATGCCTGGCAATTGTATATCAAACGAGTCAGACAGCGGCCTTTTATATCAAATATTGCTTCTATCTGCTCAGCTATTCTTTAGTTTCGATACTCACAGTCCCACTGATGCTACTGACTCCAGGAAGCCCAAGAAATATAAGGTAAGCCTAAGATGCGGATCTGGGCCCCGTTTCATAAAACTTGATATCAATGAGGCTGTTCACATCGCATTGAGATAGCGCGGTCTATCGTAGCACCCCCTTTTTTCTAGCGCGCGCTAGACCCCGCTATCTCTCGTGGACCACCCCCAAGAGGTGCTCCAGTGGCACGCCATTTTGGCTCGCCGTGGCTCGCTGTTGGGCGGACCGAAACGATGTTGTACCTTCCAAACCGCAGAGATAGCGCGGTCTAGTGAACAGCCTCAATAACAATTTACAAGCTACTGCTACAAGCTACTGCTAAAAGCTACTGAAATCATGGCATGTGATTGGCTGAGAGAAAATTTGCCATCGAAATTTAGCATTCGTTATAGATAAAGAGTTTTATGAAACGGGGCCCGGGGCAGACCACCGGAAATGGTGGGCATGGGGAGACGGAGAAAAGGGAAGAAGGGAAATGGACAACCTGTAAAAAAACTTGAAAAAGACAATTTTGTTGGCAATCATGGTCTTATCCCCTCCCTACCATCCGAATTTTAAAAGCTTGACTACTGTATGTTACTTCTTTTAATATTGTACATATATCGCTGCCTGAGTACATTTAAAAAACTATTAAAAAATCATTCATAATTCATACATGTAGGCTGACTAATAGGAGAACTCCAAGTGGCAAAATGTTTTAATCAACTCTCGTTGGACTGGCGCTGATATACAGTGCAATACAAACATTTCACATTGCTCACTTAATTTAGAACTCTCAATTATGATCAACTTATCGCATCAATAACATCACATTTATACCACTCAATGTACCGTGTGAGTCACAAAAAAAATTACACCTAGAAAATTGCTAATTATTTTTAAAAGTCAATTTTTGCACTCTCGCAAACAATGTCTCCTGCTCATCCAAGCGTGAACACACACCACACAAAAATAGTACCAAATGATTTGGGATAAAACACCCTTTCATAAGACATAACAGTTTAATGTTCATCGATGATTTTGTTTTTTAAATAATTAGCAATTTTCTAGGTGTAAACTTTTTTTTTACTCACACTGTAGTACTGTATTCAGGTAAGTTTGCGTCCTATTTTCATCGGTATAAACTGACAATCAAAATAATAGCAGACGAGGGGATCAGGAAAGTAGTTTCTGACACTGCTCTTCGTGGCATTTAAAGAGTGAAACCTACGTACAAGTGACCGAGTCATGCAGAGACTGGAGAAAATGAAACGATACGACACGAAAAAGAACTGTTTCTATGACACACTCCTCAGTCCTCACAAACAAAAACTTTCTGCTTGTAAACACAGAATCCCGGGCTTCTTCTCCAGATGGTTTCAAGCACCGTTGGCCGGGATTCGAACCACTGTTTTACGGGGAAGAAATTACCCAGCTGACCAGTCCTTCATCGTAGTATGCAATCATCAAAGTATCTTCGATTCTCTTGGTAATAATATCAAACAATGTTGATTATAAAAGATAAAATTACAGTTCTGGTATTATGCAATAGCATTGTGAAAGAAACGGTGTGGAAACGATTGGAAAATGCTCATCATTCATGTAGCAGCTAAATATTGGTGGGTGCAGTGAGGTTTTGGAGTCAATAAAACGATAAGAAATTGACTAGTAAAAAGATCTACCACGGAGAGTAAATCTTAACGATCTGGGGTAGTAAACAAAACAAAACAAAATCAAAGCTGAAGAAATATGTTAACAAAATAAACAACACAAGCATGAGAAAGATGCATTGTAAAGCCCACCTTACACAAAGAAATATTCATTACTAAACATCCTACATGTATTTGTGCTTAATCTTTTAATTCTGACAAACAATTTCCCCTCATAGTGAATGTATTACGTATTGTATTTGTTAAGCGCATATAGATGGCAACATTTTTTTTCTTTGCCTCATCAGAGGATTTATTGATTATATATACATGGTTACATTCAAAGATACAATACTACAAATCAAATTTACATAATCGCAAAAACATTATTATTGTCATAACAAAGAATTGAAATTAAGTTTTGCTTTGCAAAGCAATTGAATCTTAATCAACATACAAATTATACCGATAGTTTTGATTTCCTTTCTTTTGTTTTTCTTTTTTTCTTTTTTTCTTCTTTTTTTCTTTCTTTTTTTCTTACATAACACCCAACAGTTCTTTTGGTAAAAGCTTTTTGTTCATCTTTAAGTTTGATTTACTTTCCATTCTTTTTATAATTTCTCTATGGAGATTTTGTTTAGAAGCAACTTTTCTCTTGTCTATCCCAGTTATATTTCGTATAACAATCAATTTATAAATGGTCCAAAATGCTATTGTAAAGAATAATATACAATGACTTTCACAATCTATTTTGAGTAGGTGTTGGATATTGAGCGTCAGTATCCTTACTTTGTATATATCTCTTAATATTTCTTTGATATGTTTAATGAAGGGCTCAATTAGTTTGCATTCTATAAATGCGTGATTCATATCCTCTTTTATATTACATGTTGGGCATACATCGTCATTGGATATTCCCCATTTGAAAAGATTACTTCTTACTGGCAATAGGTTATACAGTAATTTCAAATTAAACTCTCGTAATTTGCTTTCTCTAATTTGAGCAAGATTACGCTTGAATACCTTAGACCAATCAATATCTACACTAAGTTTTTTTTCTCCAAATAAATGCAACATGTGTTAGTTAATACAGTTCTCAAAGGAATGAGTTTATAGAAACGATTGCTACTTATATCAGTAACATGTTTTACCTTATTTGCCACCAACAGATATGGAACATTGTTTTCATTTTCTTGTCTAGTATAATCATGCATAAATTCTTCTTTTAAACTATTGACCCAAACAGGAGGTATCGCTCGTTTAAGTCTTGCATAGTCAAACATTGCATTGCATTTTCGTTTGGAATGCACCTGCGATTTAATATATTCTGTTGACCGAAAGCCATCTCTCGTAAAAAGGTCTCCTAAAAATACTAGACCACTGATAGATGGCAACATAGTATGCGCTATAGAGGCCTAACATTGTCATTATCCATCATCGTTACTGAATATTTTGTGCTTAGTTTATCTACCTAGTTTAATTAATATTCACAAATATATTCAATCCTGATAGCCATGATGGAAGCCTTTCCTGACAACTGCGCAGTGATCGTCAAGAAAACCTGGCTCTTCATAAGCCCATTTGGTTTGGCAGCTGCGCTGAGTGGCGCCATATTCGTTGAAAGAGGAACAAAGAACAACATGGACGTGTTACAAAAAGTGGTTGATAACATTCACAAGAAGAAGGTCTGTTGAACTGAATGTTTATTGCCCCCCCCCCCCATTACCAAGCTGTGAATATAAGTAAACAAGAGCGCAATTACGTATTTTACGGATGAAAAGCTGCAATGAAGCGCTGCAAGGAAGCACTACAAGGAAGCACTACAAGCTTCCAAGTTTTGAACATTGATTTGTAGTGGGGGCTGTTAGGGCTAAATAGGGGTTGTTTGGTGCAGATTCTTCTAAAAGCACCAAATTTGGCCCAGAGGTAGATTATACCATACTTTTGCGATTTCTGCCGGACGCCAAGAAGGGCACCCTCTGGGTATGCCATATTGGGCAAAATGCAAAAAGGTCGCTATCTGAGTTAAAGGTCAAGCGTATAGTTGATAATAGTATGATGATAGTTTATAAATTTATGAGGTTTTGGGGGTCAGAGAATCTGATTATGATGCTCATTCATCGATTTGATATCTCCTTGGGGCTGCCATACCGGTCATATTGGTCAAATCCAAAATGGCCGCCATCTGATAGTTACAGGTCAAGTGTAGTAACGAAAGGAAATGGGCTAGTATGATAAAAGTTTATATATTTATGGGGTTTTCGGGATTTGAGTTCTCCTTGGGGCTGCCTTACTGGTCATATTGGTCAAATCCAAAATGGCCGCCATCTGATAGTTATAGGTCAATAGTAGTTCCAAAAGGAAAAGGGCTAAAATGATAAAAGTTTATATATTTATGGGGTTTTCGGGATTTGAGTTCTCCTTGGGGCTGCCTTACTGGTCATATTGGTCAAATCCAAAATGGCCGCCATCTGATAGTTATAGGTCAATAGTAGTTCCAAAAGGAAAAGGGCTAAAATGATAAAAGTTTATATATTTATGGGGTTTTCGGGATTTGAGTTCTCCTTGGGGCTGCCTTACTGGTCATATTGGTCAAATCCAAAATGGCCGCCACCTTTGAGTAAAAGGTCAAGTGTAGTTCCAAAAGGAAAAGGGCTAGTATGATAAAAGTTTATATAGTAAGGGGGTTTCCGGGGTCAGAGAATCTGATTATGATGTTGCTTGTATCAATTTCAGGTCTCCTTGGGGCTGTCATGCTGGCAATATTGGCCAAATAAAAAATGGCCGCCAGTCGAGTTAAAGGTCAAGCGTAGTTCCAAAAGGAAAAAGACCAGTATGATAAAAGTTGATAAATTCATGGGGTTTCCGGGGTCGGATAATCTGATTATGATGTTCTTTTATCAATTTTATGTCACCATCCTGTCCTAAGGCTACAATGAAGTCCATTTCCTGGTTGAAGAAGATGAGGGAAGATGCGCCAAAGTCACACTTAAGTGGGTATAAATCTTTGCCTGCGCCCATATGTTTCATCAATATGCAAACTTTCCTCTGTGAAATGCATAATAAATTCGCTTTCGAGGGTTGGCAAGAAAAATAGATAAAGAGTAGAAACAGACCATGAATAAAGAAATAAACAGCTTGGTCGATTTGTTTTGAAGCATTATCTTTAAAAACCCGGACAGCTTTAACTGTATTATCCTTAAAAAATAACGTCTATAATCACTCTGAGATGGAATAAAATACCAACACGAATTGCATTATGCAACGTCAAGACATAAAAGTCGAATCTCAACTTTATTTTTTCTTATTCTTCTTTTACATTTCGAAGCGTTGCATCGGATCTTAATCCTGTTTTTTCTATATCAAGCTCCCCCCCCCCCCCCCCCCCCCCATTTAAGCATACTTTGAAGTTTGAATCTGGTCACGCTTCAAAAAGTTTGTGGCCTAGCAATTTGTTTCTGTGGATGATCAAATAAAGAAAGCACCCTTTATAGATCAGGGAGAGTGTGAAAAAAGCACAGAGTAGGAGCAGTGCAATTTAATTATCAAGGGAGGGATTAGAGTTTATTTCTAAAATGAAATGAAAGGGCTATTTTATTTTCAAGAGTCCTTTCACTTCATTTAAGAAATAACCTCTCTTTATATCTTAGAGACACTTTCTCTTGAAAGTCAAATAAACTCGAGAGCATCCTGGGGCTCCGCCCCCGAACCCCCGGTAGGGGCTCTTACAGGCCCCGAAAGCTGTGCCATATTGTACGGATCTATTGGAAAGCAAAATAAGCCCAACAAATAATTTGTAAATATATATATATATGTATACATGTACATGTATATACATGTAGATAGGTATAATATAGGTATAATCTACCTCTGGGCCAAATTTGGTGCTTTTAGAAGAATCTGCACCGAAATATCCCTGACAGCCCCCACTATTGCAATTTCCTCTTCGCTTCTCCCTCGAGCTGGGAGTAAATTTAAACGAAAATGCAGGAGAAACCATGCCGTGGAGTTTAGTACAGCATCCGAAACTTTTAAACATTTAACCTTTGCGAATGCTATTCCATATATATTCGGAGCACAATATTGAGCTAAATCTGATTAAAACTGTGGAATAGGCAGCATACTATTGACAGGAGAACTTATTTTTTAAATTAATATTACAAACCCCTTAAAAAAGCTGTTTACAAACTGTAAATACATGTAGGTAACGAAGATAATTATAGCAACTCCAAAATGCAGTTGAATAGGCCAGGAAGTCCAAGCTGTTGTCCCTTACGTCACAAACCCCATCTAAAGATTTAAGTCAATATTCAATGATTGCATTTAAAGTTAATAATAGCCCTAATAAGTACTGTAGATCTTTAATCAGATGAAATACGAAAGGAAAAGACATACCGGTATTTGATGTCAATATATGTTCAAAACTGTACAGTGCACTGTTGTGAAGTGTGGGACATCAAATTACCATAAATACTTTGGACTTGCCCTGGCTCACTTCATTACTATATATCTCTGAAGACTCTATGTTAATTATTTTCAATCCCTTTTGTTCTCTCTCTGTATTTTGGATACCAATTTTAACAATCAAGACAAAAAACATTCTTTCTCACATAATTTCATTTCCTAATTCCTATCATCTTTGATATACCGGTACTCAAACAAAACCAGCCAGACACAACTCTTCCATGACTAAACCAAATCATTTTTCAAATTAAAATAAATATTAGATACAACAAGCTCCGTTGAATGGATAATATTCAATCTTAAATTACCTATTTAAAGTTTAATGTGGCAGCATCCTGGTTAAAAGATGATTTTTTTCAATACAGAATCTTTTTTTTTAAAGACTGCCGACGGAGGCACATTTCCTTTCTTCTTTAAAAAAAATAACTGCTGAAGAAAAATGGAAGTAACATTCACGAATCGTAGAAACCTGAAGACGAGAACGAAGTTTGCATTTAACTTTTTTATGTCGCGTTTTCCTGGACAGTGCCGTGTGTGGTTTTTCCCTGAGGGTACCAGGAAACTATCGGGTAAGAACATACATGTAGAAGAACCCATGCTACCATTCAAAATGGGTGCATTCAACATTGCCGTTCTTGCACAGGTATGTTATAAATGATATTCTCTTCTATTGTGTCTGTTTTGAGAGTGAAATGTTCATTCACAATAAGGGAGTTTACAGATACAATCTGCGCATGGGCAGATAAAGGTCATTTGTACCAAAAAGGTAAAACCCACCAGAGATGAATACTGGATATACGCTCATGAAAGTTATGTAACATTATTAATTTATGCACCAACGGTACATTCTAAGATACGCAGGTTGAAGTATTCTTTTCAAGAGGGCAAACAAAAGGTATTCATGAAGCACATCTAGGACTTTGGCAGTTATTATTCTAAGATGCTCAAAGTGGAACTTCTCCATGTGTAAAAGATCTGTGGATATTTAGGGTCATTTGTACCATGTGCTATAGTAAACTCCTTTATTGAATGCTGTTTCAGAACTTCGGAAGTTCTAAATGTCTATTTACAACCCAATTATTTTTATTAGAGTCACCATTTTCGTAATGTGATCAAATTTAATGCACAAATCTTTGTTAAGTGCCTTGTTACAAATAATTTAATTCACCTATTATGAATAAATGCACATGTATCTCAATTCTCCATAATCAGAATTCAAATTGTATTAGTGGTTAATTAGGTAGGACTAATATTATGGCTTGCCCTACTTAAAACGACACGTAATATATAATTGTCATTCACAATTATAATTTTTCGTCAAAACAAATACTGTTGACGCTTTTGCCGTTTAGAGTAGGGAATTAAGAAAACAGTTATTAAAAGGAAATGGAAACAGATTATAATTGAATAAAACACTTGCAAAAGACAATTTTCCTTTTTTTTGGAGGGGGGGGGGGGGTGGTTTTTCTGTCTTTGTACAATGTTCAGAAATTGAGGTGAATCAGAAAGAGGAAAGGAAGAGTATTCTTTTGTGAAAAGGAGTATTTTTCTCGACATGTTTCAAACAGTGTGCTCTGTTCATCGTCAGGAGATTTACTCCGTTAGTCATGTCAGGTATACTACATGTATCTCCACACATGGACAAGTGCACACTTCAAATAATGGATTCTACCTTGTATCCATGCATCATAAATCATTACCTCCGAGGATGTCAATTTGCTTAAAAGTCTCAATAATACTGACTGCATAATTTATTACCCCTTTTGTCATATATATTCTATGCTATAGATTCCAGTGGTCCCTGTTGTGTTTTCATCTCAAGATAAATTCTTTAGCTACGCAGATAAGATGTTCAAACCAGGTACAGATTCTCTCAGTTGTTTTATTACTAAAGCTTGCAACCAAAAATTCTCAAAATAAAACATCAAACTGAAGTTTTCAAAAAGGATATTACAATCAGATTATATCTTATGTAATATTGCAATGTACAGAGTATTGTGAAGAAAAAAAGACCAAAAAAAAGGCATACCGGTATGCAAGTAGGGAGTGCATATACATGTATCCAAGGCAAGTTTCATGTCACTCTTTTCTGTCTGTTTTCACAGCGGATTTAGAAGGGGAAAAAAAAAGGAGATTTAGAGAAATCTAGGAAAAGCCAAAGTTATGCTGTAAACTGATAATCACTGTAATGTAATCGTCACGTTTCCTCCAAAAAATATGGTTAACAATATAGGGTTACCGTACATAATGAATCAAAGTTTTTAAAACCATATGAATCAATAACTATAAGGAGTCATCAGCAAATTAGTTTGCCACAAGGAATAGACTTTGAGTATGTATTTCTATTCATCTAACATGTCAGCAAACATTGAATTGCTAAAGAGTCATCAGTGGAAAAAATATTTAGCTGAGAAATTCAACTGGAGTTATCGAGTTGGATTTTTGTGGTCAAGTACATGTACTGTATGTAAGAGAAATATGAATCTGTACTTAAATTTCACAAATTCTTTTTTTGTCATTACAATATCATTATTTCGTTTTAGGAAGGATTGTTGCCAGCATCTTGCCTCCAATCTCGACCAGTAGTCTAACCCTGGAAGATGTTCCACGACTCACGGACAAAGTGAGAACAATGATGATTGAGGAATTCAAAAGAATTTCTGAATGAAAAAAAAAGAAGCTTTTTCAACACAAAAACACCCTTGTTTTTTATCAGAGAACTGATGATTAACTTCAGGGTATTCGTGTCAGCAATGTTTATTAACTACTTCAGTTTAGTTTAATTTCATATTTCACATTAATACATGTATAATATAAACCATTAACACTAACAATTAATGAAAATTATTTGAGTCCAGGGGCCGGGTTTAAAGCTCCAGCTACTTGCTCCCTCTATATAGAAAACAATGCCTAATCGGTGTCCATTGGTCCCCATGATCCTCTTTTTCTTATGTTGAGAGCCTAGTTGATGTCATGAGATAGCCATCTGTCAGTTACCACACTGGGTGGTCTAATTTCTCCTAGCCAAACTAGTACAGACAGCCTTTAATAGATCTAGCAGAATAGGAACCATTGGTTTCTGATGGGGTTAACAGTAAAAAAAAAGGGCATTTTTTGAAAATTAGATAAAAACTGCAAGTCAATAATCATTTTTCTTCAAGTCTCCCCTCCCCTTTTTGCTCTATCTCTCTCTCTCTCTCTCTCTCTCTCCCTTTTTCATATTCTGTCTCTCTAAATTCCTGCACTTTTCTTGATTATCGGTAAATGTTTGTTGGCCTGTTTGAAAAAAAACTATCAACTTTGATTATTGGATGTGTATACTTGTATTACTATAGTCACAATAAAATAAATTTAAAGTTAACTGTCTGCAGCAGCACAAAAAGTGACAATACAGATATAAAATACAATACATGTAAAAATGAAAATAAGAATAATGGTAACAATTTTCTGGTTTTAGGCTTACATGTACATGTAGCTAGCATTCTAGTTCTATACCGAGTATGGCAATGAGTTTTCAGACATAGACATTTGCCTGATCATTACTTGATACAACTCTGTATAGTTCTTATCATTCCTTGTCAAAGTGCAACTCTATGTAACAATGAATGAAGTAACAAGCATACAAGTACATGCACTGTATACTGTTTCTGGATGGTTGATCAAATGTTTATTATATTAATAGGTTTGTCATATGCAGTGTATTAATTCTCATGATTATTGTAACTTCATAATTGTGTAATTATACGGGAAAATGAATCTGTGAATATTTTGTTATTACTGTGTAAAGTGACCTTTTCAGCATGAGCTGCTGGTCATTCTTTTTACATCAAATAAGAGACAAGATAACTAAATAAATCCTTCTATATATCTGCGTTGTACGTGTCGTTCATCTACTTTCTATTCATGACTCTGATGTCTAATATTTATTTATTTAATATATTCATTATATATATTTTAAGCTTGATGTCATTAGTCTTCAGACAACAATCATGTATCATATTTTGAATGTTTATTTTTATATCAAATAAAAAATCTGAATTGTATTGAAGTGATTTTAAATTTCAGGATGAAAGAATTCTTTCACAAGGATTATTTATGAAGATGTTAGACCCAGCGCTCAAAATACACGGGGGCAGAGGGCGATCCGCCCCCGTGAGCTACATAATCGCCCCCGTCAGGTTGCTCACGGGGGCGATTGCAAAATTAAAAATCGCCCCCGTGGAATTATAAAATAAAGGGGGTTTAACCCCCTCCTCGGCCAGTAACAGCTATGTAGCTTGTAAATTTGTAAGAGGGAAAATGCTGATTGAAATGATAATGATGAAATAGCAAATAATTGAGGAGTATCATAGGTACCAATTCAATGGATATTTGTATAAAAAAGAGCCCCCGTCAGTACTAAAAGAGCCCCCGTGAGAAGGCTCACAGGGGCTCTTTTTTGGGGGGAAGAGCCCCCGTGGACAAAAAATTAATTTGAGCCCTGGTTAGACCCTTCATGGAAATAGACTCAAGCACTTATTTGGAAGAAAAAAAACAACAACAACAAACGATAAAAACAAAAGAAAGATCTTACCGTTAAATGTCTGTTGATATTACCAGGTGGAGGCATGGTGCAGTTGAAGCTCGATTTTAATCAGGATTCAACTTCAATTCAAAGTGGAAAGAAACAAGATAGAGATTTAGAGACTGAATAAAATGAACATCAGTAATCACTTTTGATCAGTTTTGGGTGGGATGAAAGTAATACAGGATGAAAGTAGGCTGAATAAGAATATTACCCCCCCCCCCCCCTTCCCCTCCAAAAAAGAAAAATAGAAAAAGAAAGTAAGACTACCTGCACTACTAGATCATATCTTGCATCTTGAAGTAGTCTATAATAGTGTACTTTGCATTCTTACGCTGCCCTTGGTGAATTATGTATTTCATTTTTCCAGGTTGCATACCGACCAAGAGAGAAATTTTGACGTTTTAAAAAGTAAATATAAATCTGCATTTTAAAGCACTTTTCATTACACTTTTTTGTTTGTTAGTCTCTTATTTGGGTAGGGTCAGCCTAAGGTCTAGCTCCTGTTAGTGTTACTGCGCATGAAGGAAGATGGCATCATCTATTGACAGTAAGAATATACGGCTGCAAAAATTAAACATAGAGTTCAATTTCAAGAAGAAAATCCAGAAAAAAACCTTAAATGCATCATACAGTCAATCTGGTAAGTGGAACCGATGTGTATTAGTACGATTACTAGACTAGGCCTAATTTTCTAGAATAAAATATAATTGCATCGGATACGAATCCCCTAAAATGACATTTAATTTTAGTCCAAAGTTTGGTGGTACAGTTGTGCCACCAAACTCTGCACAGGAGACCCTATGACTAGCTTCTGTCTCTAAAGAGAGGAGCTGACCCTACCCAAATAAGATAAAGAGGCTAAGGAACGAAAGAGACAGAAATTTTCGGTCTAAGACTAAGAATGACAGATTGAGTAAGTCTAAGGAGCGGGAAATGCATCATTTTGGCCAGGGGCAGCCAGGCGACTTCCAAAGTGGGAGGGGGGCACAAAGAAAAAGGGCACTTTCTGCAGAAAAAAGGGCACCTTCAATGGGAAATCTCAAAGCGAAAATAAACAATGTTTTAGACATTGGTATATACCCCTACATTATCAGGGATGATTTCAATATTTGTTTCACTTTGTACACATTACAAGACATACTTTGCAGCTGAGTTTGATGGTCCTCAAGTTTGATTTGTGAGGTCGCAGTGCGAAAAATTACATCTTATAAAGAAAAAAAAACCAATCCTGATTGGGTAATATGCACATTCTCATAAGGCCAAAAACAAAAAATCATTTGGTTGTCCTCGATTGCGGAAAATAATTGTTTGTGTCTTTTATTGAATTTTTATTCCCCCCCCCCCCATCTTTTTGATTAAAAAATAATATATATATATTTTTTTTTTCCATAACAAAATAAAAATTAATTGGGATGTCAAGCATTTAAACAAAGTCTATAAAACACTTCAATATGGTAAAAGACTACCGGTAGTTTAATGTATAATGAATATCAAGACCAACACAGAAAGTATTTTGGGCTCTGAAAGACAACACCTATAATAAAAGAGACATATCTCAGATTTAAATAGGGCAAATTATCTGAGGTGAAGGGGGCACTTATGAAAAGTGAAAAGGGGCACTTATCGTAGCTAAAAGGGGGCACTTATTGCAAAGGAAAATGGGAACTTGTCGAAGGAAAAGGGGCACTTGTCAAAATATAAGGGGCTCCTATTAGAGGCGAAAAGGGGTAGGGTACTTTCACAAATTAATAGGGGCACTTGTCAAAGTAAAAGGGGCACTTTTCCTATGTGAAAAAGGGCACATCTCGGGTCCTTGAAAAAGCGGGGATGGTGCTGCCCCCCCCCCCCCTGCTTGAGATTTTTGCGCTTTTCAAAATAAAGATAAGATGCCAGAAGCATATTTGCTCGATATGCTGGAGGAAGAACAGGCCTTAATCTTCTGCACAATAATTGTAGGCCAGCTGACGTATCGCGGTGCGCTCGTCATGCTCGCCCTGCACTCTGTTCATTCTCATACGAAACTCGCCGTACATGTACATTAAGTCCCCGTACTCGATCTAAACTCGCGTTAATATCGTAGGCAACTGGGCATGACTCGCAGCACGATTGTCATGCTTGTACTCCACTCTTGGAAACTTGAATAGCACTCGCGTATACTTTAAGGTGGCGAGTTGATACAAGTTATGAAGAGTGCAGCGCGAGTCTGTTACGAGTAATGCAAGTACATGTATATTACGAGTGTAAGCGAGATCACCTTGAGTAACAACGAGTCAGTGAAAAGGAACTGCTTGTGACTACGAGGAGAGTCGTGGAATGTTGTAAAAAGTTACGCCGAGCCATACCTACCGAGTTGTCGCGATTTATACCGAGTTACAAGAACAACTTTTCGCAAGTCATTGCGAGTGCCTCTTTGAGGCAACTCACCACAACTCGCCAATACAATGCGGCCAAGTGGGAGCCCTGCTTTACTCAATTACTTCCCAACTCTTGGACATTCATGTAAATAAATCCTATTGGTGGGGTATCCTAGATTTAAAGATGAAGTTGAGTTCTGGTCATGCGATTGCATTGTGAAAGAAACGGTGTGGAACCGACCAGAAAAGGTTGATCAATCTAGCATATAAGAATTTGTGTGTATTGCAAGGTTCTGGAATCATCAAAATGATAAGAAATTTGGCCAAGTCTTGGTAAAGTTACAAACACTTGCACAGAAAGATGTATATGGGACTACACAAACATGTGGCGTAAAAAGCCGCCCCCCCCCCCCCCCCCCCGATTTTTAAGATGTTACATGCATATTTAGAATATGAAGGCATTTGAAGAGCCATGCTTTTCAGGGAACATGTCTGAACTGATGTTCTTCCACACTTGCACAATAAGAATGAGTAGGTCTAGGCGTAATGCTCACAAATTATTTTTCACCTCTTCCCAGAACTCAACCTTCTCTTTAAGCCACAAAGTCTAACTCCTAATCTACGGTCTTAGACTTATACTTAGTCTAAAATTAAAGTGGGGGGTTAGCAAAAAAGATGTTCTATAATAGTCTATAAACAGATAAACATCAAGCTCAAGTTGATGAACCGCCCCCCCCCCCCCCCAAAAAAAAAAAAAAAAAAAAAACAGAAGCGGTTGTGGCCTGTGATGTGCCTGTGGAATTGGAATAGAAATTAGTAGAGTCTAATCCCCAAAAAATGTCACAAACTGTAGCGTATCAATATCCTTAGCATGTATGTACAGATTGAAATAAAGTCGATTTAATAACAATAAAATGCCGTCGCTTCGAGAGGACGAAGCGCAGGTGAATTGCTCGTCGAAGCAGCGCACGCGTGGCATTAACTAACACCAATATGATAGAATGGGGCTGATCAAATATTTGGCTCTTTAGATCTGAATGTTTTTACGCTAAAGTAACGTAAAAGGATGTTCACTTCAATCAACAATCATGAATTCGAAATTTGTATAATTACCTTGATAGTCAGAAAGTTTGACAAATTGCAACAAGTGATTTTTCAGAAATTATCTCTCGAAAATGTTCCAATATTGTTTACAAATGTACGCACGCCATAAATTGTGCTATGGAAAGCCAACCGGTAGTACTCATTTCTCAACATAATTAAAATCTTTTTCATTTATCTCCCCCTCTGTTTAAAGGTAAAGACGAGTATTGGAAACGCCCCAAATTAAAAAAATGAAATGGAAGCTCTCATTACCAATCATGTGAAAGAATATGTTTTGACTAATACATGATGATAAAAAATTTGCCGGGAAACCGCCTACTAATTCATATAATTATTTGGTAAATTTGTTTCTCTCATGGTCTGTGAGAGATATAGGGTAGTCCCATATACATCTTTCTGTGTATAGTGCTTGTAACTGTACGAAGAATGGGCCAAATTTCTTATCATTTTGATGATTCCAGAACCTTGCAGATGCTAGATGCTAGATGATCAACGTACCTTTTCTGATCGATTCCACAACGTTTCTTCACAATGCAATCGCATGACCATAACTGGTCTTTACCTTTAAATAAAAGTAAATAATTTAAAAAAAATATAAAAAAAATTAAAAAAGAACTCGATACAAAGATTGGGGAAATTTTCAGCGAAATCCAATGAAAAGTGAGAAAGTTGTGCATTTTTGCATGTTTTTACACAATTTAATGGACAATTTAATATTTATATTTTTTGTATTAAACGAATGGGATAAGACCTGGACAGATACGTCACAGTGTTAGGAATTTGTGTTTGATCTATTACTAGTAACTTGACAAAATTGATTATTGAAATATCAGGATGGACTTTCTCTTTAAAGTTTGCAGCTCAGACAGTCTTTCAATTCTGTTTCGTTTTTGTGCCAATCTTTTAAATGAAGTTATACAGTCCTTCCATTGAAACAATTCATGTTTGAGCATACTTAGAAGATGATTTGAAGTAGACTTTTAAGGGCTATCTTGTTAAAGTTTTTTTTCCTTTTTATTTTTTGCCATTGTCTATACCAATTCATGAACTTTGTTCAAATAATGAAGACATGATAATAGCCTACTAAAAAGAAATGAGGAAAATAATACTAAATGACAAGAATCGAAGAAAACATAGGAATTAAGAATTCAACACTTAGATTTACTGTGATAAGTTTTCAAGACTAGTGGAGTAAGATACGATTTAGAAGGACAAAATTATATTTATGAAAAACTTGAACCCCCAGCCAAGCTACGATCCCCACCACACACAGTAAAATATAAATTGTGCATCACATCAATGTTTATGAGGCTTGTTATTATAGCTTGAATTTAAAATGCATTTACTATCTCCAATTACACACACACACAGAAAATAGTGAACAAAATATGGTTTTGTGGAAATTTATTTACAAAATTTTACTTATATTACACTTTGTACATACAGTAATAAAGTTACACATACAAGATTAACCATCAGGATTACAAAGGGTTGTTTCAAACTCTCCATTACCCGATAGAGAATTTTAAAAAAAGAATTAGATCGAATATACTGTATTATTATAACTTAACCCCTTGACTATAGCGGTACTCAATTCTCTCATTCCCACTGGCATTCATACAGGAGTCACCCAGTCCCAGGAGGCAATGGCTTAAAGGTAATACAAAGTTTTGGTATGGGGTCATGAATATGAATTTGGTTCAAATTGACATATTGGAAGCATATGCGTTCCTACAATATTCATTGATCGTTGTCGCGGTTGAAATTGTGTCTAAATTTATGAAATTATAAATAAAAAACTCTTTATGTTGTATAGCTCCCTCTCAAGGTCAAGATATTAATTGAGCTATGAAACAATTTTTCTTGACTAAAATGGACCGATGAGCTATTCCCGTTTGGAAATTATATATCACAACTACATATTCTGAGATTTTCATGGTCGCACCTACCACTGTACGGCCATAGGCGCTATTTGAAATTTATCAAAATTTACCGGGAGCACCGGTAAATTTGTGTATTAAATTTTTCTTGAAAACAAAAGTGTTTTAGGGGCTAATTTTTTTAGTGCTTATAATACACCCACAGGGGCATCCAAATATATCAAAATTGTAAAGATTCACTATCCACCCAATTTTCAAAATTTCCCAAAACTTTGTATTACCTTTAATCAGTGCAAGAGAAATTACACTGCCCAACTTATGACAATAATCAATAGCTTCTACCAAATAAAAAAATTAAAAATGATTTTATGGAATCTAGATTCATTTTGTCTGAGGTAAGCTAATAAAAAGCAATACCCGGTAGCCTATTTTTGTAATGTGATGTAATCAAATCTAATGCATATCTCTTTGTAAAATTATTTCACTCATCTTTTACAAATAATTATATTTCAATAGTCAGAATGTTAACTGCATACATTAGTTGTTGCCAGGTAGGACAAACATTATGAATTGCCCTACCTAACAACACGTTTTGAATTTTGCATTCTGACTATTGAAATACAATTATTCATTACAGGTAAATGAAATATTTGTATTGAGGTACTCACTTCACAAAGACATATGCATTGAATTTGGTTACATTACGAAAATGATCTATTGTCAAATTAAAGGTAAAATTCTTGGTTTCGGAAGTCATCTTTAGTTCTGGTAATAACGGGAAAATAAATTATGATAGAATCAGATAAGATGTTTAAGGAGTAATAAGGGTAAAAAGAGTAAAGAGTAACTCAAATAAAAATAAAGATCATTCAAAAATTGTTTTCATAACTCGAAGCATTTTTGACTGATCACCTAATTAGTTAGCCATATTAATGATTAGGCTTTGTAAGTATAGGGGGATCACAATTTTGACACACACAGCCCAACGTTTTTGGATGCAGTGCATTATCCCATTGACCAAAATGTTATCAATTTGGTGTCCAAATATGCCTTAGACTCTGGGCTTAATAGTAATGAAGCATGGGGTAAGAAGAACAAAATTACACCGAAAAAATACCGGTACAGGGGCTTGGAATCCCCCCCCCCCCCCCCCCCGGCCCTTTTAAAATTACAGATATTTCCCTCAAGCAATCGGGTCCCTTGTATGTGCATAGTGTAACATTTTACAGTCAACAATCCACACTGGAGGATGATGATGATACAGGGTTGAGGGAAACTCGGCAGGAGTCGTTATTCCCCATAATGGTGTGGAACTTCTGCAAGATCATTTCTAGTGGTGGTTTAAAAAAATTTCCGATCTTGGATGTCTGTCGGAATAAAAACAATATCTCTCAAGTCTCAACAGACTAGAAGCCGATTCCATTTCTTTACCCTGGCACACAAGTCTGTGGTAGTATCTATCTTCTTCAAGGGTTCTGATCAAGGAGTGTTCCTTTGGTTCTTGCTTTCTTGGTGGCCATCTCTTCTTGCAGGAGCTGAAATAAAAGAGAGAAAGAGAGAAAGAGAGAGAAAGAGAAAAAAGAGAGAAAAAGAAAGAAAGAGAAAGAGAAAGAAACAGAGAAAAGAAAAAGAGATAAATTAAGTTCTCTCTTGGACAATCAATATATATCACAGAATCTTTAAACAAAACAAAACCTTTATTTATGTTAACATGCATGAATGATTTCAGACTACTCAAAAAGAGTATTTGACCCAGATGTGAAAGACATCATAATCAAACATTATAAAGTCACAAATTCAGGTATCTTAGACATGTTTGTCTTGCTTTTTTTTCTTTTCAAATAGGATAACCTGCAAATTTCCATGTTGTGGTATTAAGGTTAAGACCTGCAAGGAAGTGGTTGCAATGCAAAGTAAGATCCTGCGTATGACTGATTGTAATTATCTTATTTTATCGAATACACAAAAAACAAATACAGTGAACCCTGTCTATAAAGGGTGACCAAAAAAAAGGTCTTCATAAGCAGGTGGTCTTCATGTACAGGTTCATATAGTACATGTTTCAATGAGAAACCATTTTCAAGGGAAACAAAAAATGTTTTTTTTTTAGACAGGTAGTCTTTCTATACAGGTGACGGCTAAAGCAGGTTTGACTTTATAAGAAAAATAACATAGATTAAAAGATCTACAAGACTTGAGTATCAACATACCTCCTCCGGCTTCCTTTTAGCCATGCCTTTCTTTATGAATTCCTTCTCAATCACGCGGGCGTTGCTGGCGTACGAGTCGGCAATTTCTCTCTGTCACAAAAAAAAAAAATGAATCAAATGAATCAAATTTATTCATATTCTGGAAATTGTTCTTCGCTGGTAGAGTTTATGAAAACAGAAATTTCTACTACTTTCTACTTTGACTAAAAAAGCAAAGGTCATTGATTCAATCCCAGACACACACTAATGTCCTTTGGCAAGGTATTAATCTATATTGCCACTCCATACCCAGGAGAGAAATGAGGACCTGGTAGGATTGTGTAAGTACTTGCCATATGCCCTAACGATGACCATATGGTAGGAAAACTCCAAGGGAGTGGAGATGGCGCCCATTGTGCGTGTATGAATACAATGACTGGGGTAATACCATCTGTAAAGCGCTTAGAGACAGTATTCCTTATGAAGCGCTATATAAATCCAGATTATTATTATTATTATTATTTAAAAGTAAACTTACCGCCTCGATTTCATCTTCCTCCTCATCCATGGTAGAGACAGTGACTGTTGAATACTTGCCCATCGACTTGGTCTTCTTAGTCATCATAACCTATACAGCAACAACAGTCAAAAAATTAAATCAGTACATGATCATCTGACCCCATAATGGTTGTATTAATCATTAGGAGTATAAAACTTATGCATGTATCAAAGAATATAAAAACACAGCAAACTGGCTATGCAATTCTGTTAAAGCCAACTTGGAATTGCCCTTGGTTTGTATAACGTTAGATTTGGGGCTTATCAATATGCACGTTTCACATTTTGCTTGTACAGCGCATGGAGAAACTTACATAGGATGCATTCTATAAATACAGTATAGTTCTTCTTACTAATAAAAATGGTAGCAGACAGGTACAGTCAATGATGGATTAGAGGGGAGGGGCACAATTTCCCCGAGACTCCTTCCACTTTAAATCAAAGCTGTTAGTCGTTATGTACATAAATGAATTTTCTTTTGCTTGAAGGAGATTTTTTTTTGTGGACATTGTGCCCAACCCCTCCTTTTTCCAGAGTTTTGGGCCCTGTTTCATAAAACTTGTTATCAACAACAAATAAAAATTACAATAAGAAATAAATAACAATTTATATAACAAGTTTGCTCTCAGCCAATCAAATGCCACGATTTCAGTAGCTAATGACAGTTATTGTAACTTGTCATTGAGGACGAGTTTTATGAAACAGGGCTCTGGATAGGCCCCGGGGTACAGTAAGCTACTAGATACCTTTTTACTTGGAATGTTTTCTAGAGCTAGGGGTTCTTTGAGAGGTCCCTTTTCAGGCTCATAAACTGCGTCATCTACAATGAAAGTGACCGTGGTATCCTTGTCTTTGTGCCTGTAGAACAGGAGAAGGCCGCATCTGAAACAGACAATGCATGGGTGTCAGGAGGAGTCAAATCGAAATGATTCAATATGTTGATATGGTGATAATTATGATATTGATTGAAGATATTATTATTATTATGATTACGATCATCATTATTCTTATTATTATCATTACTGGGTATTATATATTATCATTATTATCATCATCATCATTATAATTACCATCATTATTGTCATCATTGTCAATTTATCATAATAATACAGTCAAACCTGCTTTAGTGGTCACCTGTCTATAATGACCATCTATCTACAAAGATGACCTTTCTACAAAGACCACATTTTTTGTTTCCCTTGAAAATACTTTCTCAAAGAAACACATACTAAAGGAACCCGTCTACAAAGACCAGCTGTCTCAATGATCACTTTTTGTGTTTCCCTTCGGTGGTCGCTATAGACAGGTTTGACTGTAGTAATAAAAACAGGAACATATTAAAACATGAAGCCTCCATATTAACATCAATCACCAGCAATGCAGATTCAATAAATTTGATATCAATTTCAAACTCTGATTTCTCAAAGAAACAAACTTTACTTCATAGATAGTAAGCATCTAAAATCCAACCCTCTTTTAATTCACTAAAAACACAATTATTTTCAATGTTTTGCTTACTTTTTACACTTCTGTCTGTATTGCTTTTCAATTCCTTCAGGTCTGTATGAAATCAAGAGAAAGAGAAAAAACATGACAAACAAGAACACAATGTAGTACTGAACAGAAAACTATTGGTTACAAGTACCTTGAAACATCACTTCACTTCACAGATAAGGAAACAAATTGTCCTTTGGACACAGTAAAAATCATGAGAAAAAGGAAACAAAAAACAAGTTTCTTTATATATGTGCAGATAATTTCAAAACATGAAGGTACTGGAACAAAAATAGTACAGGTGAGGCGTACTCTAAGCTCGCTCTAATGATTGACCAGCTGTCATGTCAACTGGCCTCATCAAAATTAGTTTCTTTATACGACGTTGTTTTCTAGCCTATACGCTCCTATCGTTATGCAATGGCTCTTTAGATGACGTTTCTTTGTATAAATTTCATTTAGTATGAACATGATACATGTTCATGTATAAGACTGAACTTCTGAGGTAGACTGTATCTCCTTGCTGGCATGTGAGCTTATGAACATGTTTAGAAGGTCTCTATGATTATTTATAGACGTTCCTTTGTAGAAATTTCACTTAGTCTGAACACGATACACATATTATGAGACTGACCTTTTGAGGTAGACTAAATCTCCTTGCTGGCACGTGAGCTTATGAACATGTTTGTTGGCATCGATCACTCTGGCTTTATCACGCTTCCTCAAAGGCAACTTCTCCAGTGGACAATCTGGGCAAAAAATGACCAAATTAATTTCTTACATTTTTGTTGTTCAATTTTCTTACTAAAATCCAGCTGTTTCAGTTTATCAGAACATACTGACAAAATAAATTGCTGTATAAGTCCAGTAATTCCACTGCTCAAAATGTCTAATTTACATGGTGGGCAATTCCACGGTAACGGAAGGACACTCAGACAAGATTTTTGAACTTCAGGTTCATACTAAAAGAAATGTTTTATTAGTATGTATTAAACTATGGGGAACAAAATGTGTTTCAGTCAAGTGGAAAGCTTCATCAACTTCACAAAGTTTGGATAAACACTAATTAACTGGAAAAACCATGTCCATTTTTATGTCCTTCCGTTACCGAGATAATTAATATGCACATTCTTAAACTACTTAACTATAATGACAATTTTTGGGGGGAGAATTAAAGGCACTTATATAGGTATTATATCTGTGCTGTTTCACATCTTATACTAATAAAACAGTTCTTTTAGTATGAACCTGAAGTTCAAAAATCTTGTCTGAGTGTCCTTCCGTTACCGTGGAATTGCCCTGGTGTCAATCTCTTTTTTAAAAGAAGAAAGAAAAAATAGTCAAACGTCAACTTCTTTTCTTTACGAAAATAGTGTGAGAAACAAGTGGTCTTTCACCCATTAGTTTCAGTTTGATTGGGGATTCATAAGGGGTAGACTAATTCTTGATATTGAATATGAGGCACTTTTTTCTTCTCATGATTGAGTAGCCATGACAACATTATATTTAAAAAACTATAGATCATCATCAAAGATGATTTTCTGCTATATTTATGTCAGTCTAGCAGCAAAGTTTTCGTTGGTTGACATAACTTTAGTCAATGACAACTGACATGCATTATGCCACTTGGCCTTGGACTCTTTGTAGTCAAATTTCAAGATTGGAGTTTTAAAAAGTTGGACAATACAACAAGTGCATACCAGGACGGTGCGGGTGCGCACGTGTGCAGTTAGCGACTGGAATCTCAGATCCTCATTAAATTCATGTAGACTAAGAGATTCATCATTACGCACGCCAGCACACCACCGTCGATCGCCATATGGTATGCAATTTAATAATGCAGTGGTTTGCCGTAGCACCTGTAAGAAAGTGTGTATTATATTTAGGGTAGAGTGCCCAGTATTCGGTCACTTAAGGGGAAATCACTAATATTTTGAATTCTTACCTCTTTTATTTGGCAATCTACCCATCAAAAGAAAAGAAATTTATTCCTCTAACAGGATTTTATAGTCACTTAAAATATAGAATAATGATAAGCAAAATACTTCCGAAAGAAGACGGAGCATTTTTCTGCCCAAAATTCGGTCGCGCCGATTAGAATTCGGTCAAGCGATTTGTGCGTGGTATCTCCGTTGCCAAAGAGCGAATCGTATTTGCGCACTATTTTCACACAATTGCGCGATAAAGCACTGAATGTCAATGCGTTGACCGAATACTGGCCGAGCGATACCGCATGGCAAGGGTATCGTATAAATAACTCTCGCACATCGGCAAATGCGTCATTTGGAAATTCACTGCGATGGAGTGAACACGGAAGTGATTCTCTTCACACACATACTAAATTCATTGCGACAGCACAGGCAGTTGTTTCGCAATAGACTTGTACATATGGCTATGCATGTTAGCGCATGTGCTAAGAGAACGCAGAAGTGCAGAAAGTCTTGCGACACTGACCAATTTTGAGCTAAGTTGGAGATCTTTCCGGGGCCCTAAATCTGATTTAATTTTGAGAGTTAAGAAAAGTTGTTCAGCTGCCTGATTTGTGCAAGTTTCGTGGCTCTTAAATTATTTTTTAAATTGTTACAGCTGTTGAAACGGCTGTCTGACCGAATACTGGGAATTGACCGAATACTGGGCGCGCTACCCTAGACTATGTCTTCTTTTTTTAAATGCAAGGAAAAATACTCCAAAAAGATAAGAAAAATTGACACGAAAGTCGAAACAGGTAAGAAACTAAGTAAGAAACATAACAAATTTAAAATCATGACCATTATTTGAACAATTGATGCATATTTAGTTTATTTTGGGTAGGTCTAGACCATATGTTGTAGTAGGTTATCTCCACGCCGGAGTTATGGGTGAAAGTCTGGATATGATTCTGAAAAGTAGCGGCATGAGCGGCGTCTTTTTTGTGGTAACCATAAAACAACGATTTAAGTAGATGGGACTAAAGTATAAAAAAAGACGTAGGTTCGACGTTATTAGCATGAAGACAAATGAGAGTTTCTTACCAATAATTAATACCATCTGACCACATAGACAGAAGTAAGTCTGTAGAGGTTTATCCTTTTCATATTCTTCCTTTTCTCTGTTATCAGACACAACAATACTGCGAGATACAACTTTCGGCATTTTGATTTTTGGCAATCGGCTCTGGAAAATTGGTAAGGTATCTTCAAGATTCGATGGTGAAGGAAAAAAAAAGAAGAAGAAGAAGAAGTAGAAGAAAAAGTAAAAAATAAATAAAATAGACGTGTACCGGAACTGAAAATGCCATCTTTCTTTGGATAACATGTAGCCTTCTCAATATGTATAGAATTTTTTAGGAGAACTGATAAATTATTTAATAGTAGATATAGTGAAAAATACTCTCATGACATGGATCTATACATAAGCCTATTATTCCCTCATTTTTGATGTATTGGTAATTATTTTGGAAAAAGTACCCTACTTCTAAATTACATGAAATATACCTTTCCCATTATTGATCTCTTATTTAGAAATTGATGCTACCCTATTCAGATGTGGAGTTTTATCGCCTTTATTAGCTTTTAAACATTAAGAGCACTTAACGTGATGCAACATTTACAGGACCCACATGTCTTCCTCAAGTTGTATTAGGCCAAATAACAAAAATAACGTGTTTCCTGCCAGACTTTTAAAGAAAGGAGGAGGAAGGGCATTACTATTTAATATTTTACATTTTTTTTTCTCAAATTTTCAAAGATGGCTGCCATGCTAATGATACCCAAGCCTATTTATTCACAGATATTGTGCTATGTGAGTATACTGATGCAATGTATGACAAAAAAAATGATTTGTATCACTTTAAAAGCTATATAAACGAAATGTAAACCAGGCTTTTTTATTCTTTTCTTCTTCCGAGTAGTAAATAGTTTTAAAAAAGGAGGCGGGAGGGGACAAAAAACACTTCACTTTTGTTTGTTGGCCTTATTATTATATGTTTAATTGGAAGTATTGCCTGTTATACCAGTGTACCTTGAAAATACATATAATCTTTTTACAAAATATTCTCAAATGAACACTAGACAAAAAAGACATACTTTAAACTTATGATGAACAGGAAATCATTGCAACCTCTCCACAGCAACTTTGACTGCTCTCTCTCTCCTCTGTTGCCTCTTTAATTTTCTTTGAATGTTTGGGCTTCATGGGAAAGTTTAAATTGTAAAATAATTTTTGGCTTGCAAATTTTTTTTCTTCAAGGATTTGAATCTTTCTGCCATCTACTACTGCTCGACGGGGAGCAACTCTACCACCAGACCATTACTGGTCTTTCATTTTCTGTCATTCTCTTTCAGCCTCCCCACACTCCTTATCAAAGTTTCCCCTTAAAATGTCCTTTTCCTCTCTTTCACACAATTTTCATCCAACTGACAATTCTTCATAAAAGTGCCTACCAGTACACACTGAAATACCTTAATTATACATATTTCATTTCTTATTGGCAATAAATGCAAGTTTTTTAAAAATCTTTGCAATGTATTTTTTTTCGAGACTACTGCAGCAAAGTCATGAAATGAAATAAAGCAGTTACGAAAGGCTATCAGCTCCAAATACAATTTCTGACAAAACTCTTGACTTTATCAAGGCAATACTACAAAACACACAGGAAAAATACTGATGCAACGATAAGTTCATGTAGATTGAAAGCAAATAGTTTTTATTTGATGGAGTATGTATGCCAGCAGGGGGCGCTGTTTTATTTGACAAGTTATAGCTTCTTTTTTTATTACATCAACTGATTGCATAACATACATACATTGAAATATATATATTTATATACTTTGATACACATGAATTCTTCAACACTTAATTCTAAATACATACCTATATATTTCAGGTATATCAAGAGATTTTAAACACATCTACTTCTAAATATTGTTCATACTTCGCTTCACTTCCCAGTATGTATTAGTCATACATAAATGTTTGAACACTTGCTCTGTTAAATAAAGAATTAAGTATATGACAGAAGCTTGACAAGTTTCCCTTGTCCCAACAAATCAAGAAAACAAATCCAAAACTATATTGTAATTTTTAAGTACACCAAATGGATATGTCAACTTGCATGTCCACCGAGAAAAACAAAATTTGTGAAAGCACTGACGCCGAAAACCCAAACGGTGCATTGAAAGGCAGAATTATATGTTTTATGCAGTTGCTGAATTCGAATTAAAATTATATGCCCTTTGGGCTGTTGACAAGAAGATGTTTGACACCTATCATTACTCAGTTGAATAGGAAAAGTTATGTGCAGTAATAATTCTGTGTCACATAAAAAGAAAATATCCTTGGTGCAAATGATAGAATTAAATTTGTATACGTCCTTCAACTAATTTGTTCCTTAAATCTTCTATTTAAATCAAAAAATAAATAAGATAAGAGTGGTGAACTGATTAAACATATTAGTAAATAGGCTTACAACTCTGAGAATGGTGGTAATTTGTCTTGTACTTACTAGACTACCAGGGGACGAAAATAAATAGGGAGATACAACATAAAAAGTCCAGTGCTTTTAAACCAGACTCGATGCTTACTTTAATATCGAGTTGAAATGACCCTGTACTTTCCAGACCTACCACATAGACATTTCCTATTCTACAAACTTAATGAAGAATTCTTATAACTAAACAAATGTGTCAATTCACCCTGTGAAAACCTCTCTCAGACAATTTATTTGTCAGATGCAAATTAAGCTTGTCAAACTACCGGTAAGTCTTTCTAGGGGCAGACTTGATCATGTCTTTAAATAAACAGATGCCTTGAAGACAAGATGACACCCAGTTAAAAAATCAGTCTTCTTTTTGTTCCGACACCTGTTGAAACAAACCTAAGCTTTGTATAAAGGCTTTTTATTCCTTTCCCATTCATTCAATGCATCCAACTTTGAAATGCAATACACAATTTTAAACAACGGAGACTAGTCACTACTATAATATCGTACTTAATAAACTGGCAGCATAATTAGAAAATATCGAGAGATTCTCCCAGTACAAATTTCTTATAAAATGTTTAATACAGCACTTCTACTTTTCTGAAGACAAGTACACATATGACATCTCATGTCTGTAACAGGGTTTTGGGAGAATATCATACCATACTGACAAAGAGATTTGTGGCACATCATTGTGAATGATTTGTTCCTTTAAATGTCCAAGGCATACGTGTATCAGAAGTAGTTTGCATGGTCGATGGATGATATCAAAATGATTGGCAAATTGTAATACATGTATGATATGATGATTGATAACCCTAGTCTTTAAAAAATTCTTGTTCATTTTGAATTGACAGTTGGTTTACAGATTAATTATGTAAAATGATTGAAAAGTTTTATATGTGACTCTTCCATCACAATCTGCTTCAAATATGCCACATATACTGACTTTATTACCAAACAGAAGAATACAATAAACCAATATAGACAATGGAGTCATTCATTGTTCTGAGAGTATGTTCTTTGTTGACTGAACAATGAGATATCGTCAGATCAAGATAATGCTTCAAATAGATCACTGCTTCCATGACATTTAATCACTTTAAGTACTTTTATTTCTCTAAATTGCACTTTTTACAAACTTTCCACTACACATTTTTTTAATCTGAATCTGTTCTAAAGAATATTACATCAGGCATACATAATTTAGGATTACATGACAAGACATATTTGTACAAGCTTGATCAGCCAATTTTCTTGCATAAAAATCAGGAGTATATTACATTAGTGTTTGCTAGTAGATCAGCAAACTAGATTTGAAAGTATACATTCACATTCGGTGACCACATGCATAATATGATTATCATTCAAGTATAAAAAATAAATATTCAATTATCAACATGCAAAGATTCTGTTAAATAACTTGACAAACTCGACAAAACGCATTAGTCACTGGACTTGCTAAGTTCAATGCCAGAAAGAAAGAAGGAAAAAAAAAATCCAACATTAATTTGTACATTATTTTTCTTGAAAATATAAATATATTTTCAGAAGAGACAATATGGAAAGAAATGCTGTGACACATGTACAATTTCTTAGACTGCACTTAAGTCAAGAGTAGGGGTGATATATTATCAAGGGAGTTGCAGGGGCTAGGTAAGTAGAGTTTTTTGGCAAGAAATCCTTATTTATAATATTTTCAAGTTGAATGTTTCCACATGTCCTACAAGTAAATATACACCATAAACAACAAACAAATGATTGTTTTATATGACACACACATATAATGAAAGGTAAAGTAAATAACTTGTGTTACTGTTACCAGTAAATTATGACATTATTAAAATCTAAAAGGAAATTATCACAATAATAGAAACTTAAGAAAAATAGGAGCTGTACTTAAATAGGGATGATTATGATCACAAAAGTGATATTGTTCCAATAGGCAAGATAGAAGAGCTGTGACAGCAATTATACCAAGATCTGATCATACTGTACTACGGTGAGACACAAATCTTAAAGGCATTGTTTAACAATGTTTCCAGTTTCACAAATCTGAGATGCATGGCCCTATGTGTTATCAGTGTCTGTGGTATGGTGTAATATTGAAGCCCTAAAAAAAAGTGCTTTAAAATGATGATCAAGAAGTGCCTCAAAAAAGTAAAAATCTTTGAGTGACCGGTTTTACCATACTCGTTTCCCCCAATAGACTGTAGTGTTATGAAAACCGTTTGGCAAACGGTTTTCAAAATTTGTAATCCCAATCATCATTATCTTGATAATCAGACAGACGATCGGCTTGTAAAAGTCATGGGATTCCTTGGGAGACCTAAAGGTTAATAATTATAATTGCAGCATGAGCTAAATCCAGGATTTTGTTTAGAATCTGAGGCAAAGATACGCAATCACTTTAAAAATTGTGTTGACCACAGAGCTATCTGGAGAAGATGACATGGGTGTCATTATCATATATGAGATGATACTGTGGATGGTGATGTTCGTGGTGGTGATGATGATGATGATGATGATGATGGTGAGGAAGATGATGAAAATGATGATAGTGACAGGGGCAGACAATAAAGATGGCAATGAGGATGACAACAAAAATCAAGCAAACAGCACATGGAGAATGACTGTTTTGTGATGATATCATGAACCAAGATGAATAACTTAGGGGGAAAAAACCTTCAAAATAATTTGTAACAACCTAAAAAAATGTCACAGATTAACTATATTACAACAACTTAAAACACCCCTCATGTCATTTTGAATAATATATATACTAAGTAGTTTGTCACCTTGTAAATAACATAATTAGTGGCTCCCACATTGTGGGAACACACACATAATACTGAAAAAGTATTTACTGCCTATAAATGTTTGTTCCTCCGCAGAAAAAGTTGCAGCCTTCAAAACACATAATGCCAAGTTCATATATATATATATACGTCGGCACAGCCAACACGTTGATTGAATCTTCGATGCACTTCAAGCAGCACAGGGTTACACCAACACTTGATTCACTGCAGTCCACGCGGCTGAAAGCTTGTCCCGTGACCAAAAGAATAAACTGTCTTCAATAGGACCTCAACGGTAGATTTCGACAATAAGAAGCTGGGTTATAGCGCTAGCTGCAACAGCTTGGGTATCCTACTGGAGTACATTGAACAGCAGGTGGCATCAGAACGGATTTTCACAAAACTTGTCATCAGTGACAAATGACAGTTTTTGTTATAAGCTACTGATATCCTTGCTTCTGATTGGTTATCAACAGATTTGTCACTGATTTTTGTCATTTGTCATTGAAAAAAGGCTTTGTGAAATGGGTCCCTGGAGTTGCATCCATGTCAGGAGTTGAATCCAAGCCAAGATACGGATAGTGTCAGGTAGGCCTCCAAGATGGTGGCCAGAGTGAGATACATGATGGTGTCGGGAGTAGGGACCGTGTCAAGATTAGGATAAGTGTCGCAGTATTGGGATCCATGTCAAGAGTAAGATCCCTGATAGTGTCTGCAAGGAATCTTGGGCGATCCTGACAATAGTTTGAGGAGTGGGATCTCAAAATGGTGTCAGCAGTGGGATATTACATCACCTACAGGATTTGGTTCCTAGATGGAGTAAACAGTGGGATCCATGTAAAGAGTGAGGTCCATGATGGCGTAAGAATTTTGGATCCAAGATTCCGACAATAGCATCAGGAGTGGGATCCATGTTAAAGTTGCTCAAGCATGGGTATATAGAGGGCAGCACATGGACCTACGCACGGGGGCGTGATACCCATTGGCTCAGTGTTATGTGGTGATCGGGAGTGATCGCCAAGTTGCCTACTTCACGAACAACTGTATACCCACGCATGAACACCTTTAAGAGTCAGATACGTGATGATGTCGTCCAAGGAATCCAAGATCCTGACATCGGTGGCAGCGGTGGGATCGATCTCATGGTTTGATGACCTTTGACAGCTGCCACATGGCTTCCTCGTCCAAGTACTCTGAGAAATCATTGAAGACCAGCAGAACCTTCTCGTTGCTCTTCAGCGTGTCGTAGTGACTGGTTGAAAAGAGAGGAAAAGTGACAATCAGATTGCTTGAAGAGTAGGGTTTTCAAAATTGAATGATGTTCATTATTCAAACAAAGCGCAGAGCTGAATCACAATTCCATCTGTGGATTTCTATTCATTAGGACAATCCTTTTCACTTGAAGTCCTTCACTATATTTTCAAATGCAGCCATTAAAAATGGTATCACCTTTTTTTGCCTTACTTGCGAAGGTGCTTCCTTCATTTTATGCATGCACAACATCAGCTCTCATTAATCTCTTCTACCGGTACTTCATTTAAACACATCATCATTGTCTAAATCAACCATTTTTCCTTCCCCTTTTAAAAATAATGATAAGTATAGATAGAGTACTCAAAATGCTCCATCTCCACATGACCAATGTCATCAAGGTGCAAAAGAAAATTAAGAACCTGAAAATACACAAAAATGAAATACCTCACAAAGAGAAAGTAGATTGATCTACTGGACAGCAATGTTGAACAGTTTAGAGAGCGATCTTTTTAATGACTAGCTTGAAAAAAGCCTTGGAACTTACTGTTGTTTGAATCTACGCATGCTGTCCAAGATTTGGAAGTACTGCCAACACTTGACAAAGTTGACGCCGCCATTATCAGGTAGCTCCTCAGGGTTGCCAATGTGCACAAAGGTGATGTCTTGGAGAATCAGCCCACTGAAAGACACATAAAAAAAAACATAATCAGAGACCATAATGAAAGCTCTCCGTCATAAGGCCTCAGGAAGAGCGGTACATCGATTTGATTATTAACAAAAGGCCGGTCAAGTCATGGACTAAAGTCAAAGATTATATATTACATCACATTAACAGTTTTCTCTCTTGACTAGGATGTAGTAAACAGTTACCTATTTTTAAGAAAGGCAAACATCACTACCAATTTGGTTTCAAACAGGGTCCTGCTGGTAAAGAGACCACTGCTCTAACACTCAGCCATCATGCCTCCCAAGATGACGACTACTATCAATCTCATGAGTTTCAAGGAGTTAAACAAAATCTTGACTAGAGGGGCAACTTAAAGGTGATGAGCAAACTATATAATAAGCACTGTTACTATGATAACCATTATTAATGTTATTTATAAGATGATGACGTGGATCCTAATCAAATGATTGGTGGAGGGCATACACATGACCAGGCCTTTATTTTCCCTAACATATAATTTTGATAATGACCGGTCATTAGTAAAATCATTTTAATAAAACATCATTTTATAAAACAAATAAAAAATAATCTTATAATACACATCATTTTGTTCGTGCATTAGTAAAATTACCCACACTCAGTACCTTAAAACAGTCTAAACACCCTCGGCGGCATGTTAGACTGTTTCAAAGGTACCTTGTGTGGGTAATTCTTACTAAGCCCTCACTGCTGTGTATTTAATGTTATTTGCAAATCGACAACTTACAGGTAAGGTATGCAAGGTGGTTCGGCTTCAGCTAATGCAGCCCTGTAGCAGCGGAAAGATGATGAACTGTCAATCAATGTACAGTACTCCTTCAAACCCTGAAAGATATAAAATATGAACATTTATTGAGGTTTTAGACAACTTTCATTAGACCAGAACAGCTCAAAATATTACTATTCTCAATCAGTCATTTGCTTTTTATTTGAAACCCTCACTCAATTAAGCAATTTACCCATTCTCCCACCTCTATCTCATTAACTCTTAAGCTGCCCCTATGCAATTCACCCAGTGCCACAGTGCTAATCCCTATTGTGCCCGCTACTAATCTCCTGTGTGCTAAGTTAATTTAGGGTTGGTTCAAGTGCGTGTAGTTTAAATTGTTACTATGTTTGATCCACTATAACATCTCATCTGTATATTGTATAAAAAAGAATTGTACGTTAAAGTTGTAGGAAATTTAACTCTCTTTCTGTTGATACCAATATCATTTCATGAATCTGTAATTTTGGTAGAGTAAATAAGCACTATCAGTGAGTTGTCAAACCAATCCGTTGTCTCATTTCCCGCACACAATCTGAGGGGCCATGATCAAAACTGACTAATTTGATGATAAAATATCGCAATTTTCTCAGGAAAATCCAATGTAACGGTATACGTGAAGCACGCAAAATCAAAACAACAATAAACCCCCTCCACAAATACAGTAAGCATTCATGCGTGCACGCAATGCGCATCGCACAATAGGCATAAACAATTAGCTTGTGTACTTATGCACGAAAATGTGTCCGTGGCACGCGAGCGGATGAGAGTTTATGTGTCCATGGCAAGTCAACAGAAACCCGATTATGTGTGCGTGGCACGCCAGCGCATGCACAGAACAGTGTTCTTGGCACGATAAGAGTTAAGCTCATCTCCAGCTGGCAAAGAGACAAAACTGCTATACAAAAGTTATTCTTTCAATAGATATAACAAGGATTTTTCCCTTTTTTCTTCTTCATGTCACCGGACTGTAAATCACAAGGTACAGGGTTCAAATCCCAGCCCAGCACTAACGTCCTTTGGCAAGACGTTAATCTACGTTTGCCACTCTCCACCCGGGTGTTAAATGGGTATCCAGTTGGATGCGAATATTAATAAAGTTTGCTCAGCATTGTGAGCATTTGTATAATGGCGTCTGACTAGAATGCTCCCAAGGGAGTGGAGAATGTGCATACATCGAGCACGAACAAGCCTGAATCTGATGTCTGAGGTAATAATTTATCTGTAAAGCACTTAGAGACATCGTTGATGTATTAAATGCTATATAAGCGCAGAACATTATTATCAATATTATCGTTATTATTATTTCTAAAATGACTTACCTCTACGGTTTGTCTCTGCCATTCCAGCCTCCTGACCGGAGCAGAGTCTAATGCCGATAACACCGCTAGGTAGGAGTTGAAGTTGTTCAGCTTTCTCAGGTGCTGTGCGAATAAATAAAGAAAAAAAAAAAAAAAAAAAAAACATTTATTGTTATGTCACGCTGAGTAATCCAAGTACAGTTGTAATTTGTAGAGGTGTCATGGTCTAGTGGATATGTTATTGAACTGTGGAATACATGGTCTGCGGATCAAGTCCCACCGCAGAACTAATTTCCTTTGGCAAGACATTTTAATCTATATTTGCCACACTCGACCCAGGTGAAGTAAATTGGTACCCAGTAAGAAGAAATTCCTTAAATGCTTTAGCGCCTTATTATGGCAGCTCAGTTACAGCTACAGCTGGGGTAATAATATAATAATTTGTATATAGCGCAGTAGAGTATATTCAAATAGTAGCCGCGCTATATAAATGGATCTATCATTATTCTTATATACATATTTTTTTAAGAGAGTGATTTCTGTAAAACAAGATGGGTAAACTGTACCTTCATGACTTTGATGAACTTGATAAGAAGCTTCTCCCTGTCTTGGGCCTTAGGTTCCTGGAGAATTAGAGACCTCACCCTGAAACATGGAAGAAAATAAATCAGAAAAACTTTTTTAAATTAAACAAATTAAACCCACAGTATTTGTCCTGACATAACAACAAACATGGCAACATACAAAGATATATTTCAAATTACATGTTCACCTACAAAGTACTGAACATTATTTTTTTTCTTTATATAAGCTCTTTTGTTTCATACAATATTTTACACGCAGTAACTGTGCAGTTTATGAAATTGTATGCATAATGCATCTAGATGCTAGTAGGCTTTTGGATTTAAAGCTTGAAATGTCATGAAACTTTTTTGGACAATTACAATATTAAACATGTAATCATATAAAATATTAAAAATTATCAGAGAGCCTGAATTCAAGCAATTGCCTGAAAATCGTCATCACTCAAACATGAAGTTCACTGATAGAAGGGCAGATAGGGAAGGAGACCGGAAAGACAGTAAAGAAGAAAACAGAGGAAAACTAGATGGAATTTTGACTGCGCGCAGTCGAAAATGATGCCTCCGCCATAGAGCAATTTAAACAAGTTTGGAGTTTAAATCTCCAGTGGTTCTTGAGATATCATGATAACAATCTCAATGTATGGAATTTCATAAGCTGACCTCTGTGACCCTTGACCTTTGACCTACGTGCTCCAAAATCTAATCAGATTGTCTTCCTATGGTGATACACACTATCATTAAGTTTGAAGTTTAAATCTCCAGTGGTTCTTGAGATATTATGATAACAATCTCAATGTATGGAATTTCATAAGTTGACCTCTGTGACCCTTGACCTTTGACCTACGTGCCTTAAAATCTAATCAGATCGTCTTCCTATGGTGATACATACTATCCTTAAGTTTGAAGTTTTTACATCTCCAGTGGTTCTTGAGATATCATGATAACAATCTCAATGTATGGAATTTCATAAGTTGACCTCTATGACCCTTGACCTTTGACCTACGTGCTCCAAAATGTACTCAGATTGTTTTCCTATAGTGATACACACTATCACTAAGTTTGAAGTTTAAATCTCCAGTGGTTCTTGAGATATCATGATAACAATCTCAATGTATGGAATTTCATAAGTTGACCTCTGTGACCCTTGACCTTTGACATACGTGCTCCAAAATCTAATCAGATCGTCTTCCTATGGTGATACATACTATCCTTAAGTTTGAAGTTTAAATCTCAAATGGTTCTTGAGATATCGCGCTAACAAACTCAATACAAGGAATTTCATAAGTTGACCTCTGTGACCTGTGACCTTTGACCTACGTACTCCAAAATCTAATCAGATCGTCTTCCTATGGTGATAAATACTATTCCCGAGTCTTAAGTTTAAATCTTAAATGGTTCTTGAGATATTGTGATAACGGTCAAACGGGACGGACGTACGGACGTACGGACGGACGGACGGACGGACGTACGGACGGACGTACAGACGTACGGACGTACGGACGGACAACCCGAAAACATGATGCCTCCGGCACCACCTTCGGTGGCGGAGGCATAAAAAGAGGGAGTAGAATAATGTTTACCAGTAGGACATCTTGTTAAAGTGTTCTGTGAATATCGTTAGGTTGGGACTCAGCTCCTCCGACTGCTCCTTCGCCCACATCAGGACCTCAGGAATCTATTAACAAAATACATATATGAAAATAAATAAATACAACAAAAATAATACATAACAATTAATAAATAATTAATTAAACAAACAAATTAATAAATAGATAAACAAATAAACAAACAAACAAATAAATAAATAAATAAATAACTAAATGTCAGTATGTCACCATAGTAAATCACACATCATCTTGTAGTTACTGTAGTGGGCGTGTACCTCGCTTGATATCACCTTCACAATTGATGACAATTTACACTGAACTTAGCATTGTCAACCATGTCAAAATGGATGCATGTAACCAACACAAGCAAAATTGATTTGTTGATGTACATGTATGTATATCATTCCATACAGCCTTTCTCAAGTGCTGGTAGAGGGAATCTTGAGGGAAAGTGGCTTTCAATAATTCTGACTTGTATATCATAATCATACAATAGTGGTTTAGATATTTTTTCTGAAACCTGGGTGTTTACTTCTCAGACGCTGTCAGAACTGAGAACTGGATTGATTTTCATATCTTTCTTTCCTCAGCGCTTAGAGACTTTGGAGGAAAGCACTTCATAAGCACCGTTTTTATCATTATTGTTATTATTTGGCTATCAAATTTAGACATTTTCTACCAGAATCCTAGGACACCGTTTTTATTATTATTATTATTATTACTTGGCTAATTTAGACAATTTCTTCCAAAATCCTTGGACAGGGACTTGTCTTAAAGTGATTGATGATGGATTTTAATCAATAACAACTATATATGATACATGACTTTAATACATGTAGATATGATTTACTTTGTTCTACAGAAACATCCTTCGAAGTCTGTTTTGAATCTATGACATTTTATTTTCTGTCATTATCAAGATTAACTATATCTTCATGAAAAAAGTATACTGCAGGCATACTTAGGGTTCTGTCAAAATGCTTTTCACTGTATACCGGTAGTGGCTTAATCACAGTTTCACTTTTGATAGGTGTGGTAAGAAGACATGTAATCAATCTAATATTTACAATTGATTTTCAGATGATTCTAAGAAACCATAATAACCCACAAAGGCCTTTATTTATAAATCAATACACTGCACAGGATGCATACAATTAATTGTCTGAAGGCGTGTTAGTTAGTACCACAGGACTGTTTTGATGAAATATTACATGTACATCAACACGCAACAGTACAGAAAAAGGATTGGGAAAGAAAACCGCGAATTTATTTTCTTGCGCGCCAGAGAAATGAACACAATCGTCTTGGCTGTTAGTGAGACTTTTTTTCATCTTTTTAGCACGGTAGGTGTGATAGGAAAGAATGATGCACCGTCACATGGTGTTGATTGACCAATTAGATTACCTACATTCTAGCACCTGTTTTATCAAATGAATTAATCATAAGGACTTATCTCCTCCTCTAATACACAAAGGCTTAAGGGGGCTTGCCTTACCTCAATTTTCTGGAAGAGTACCGAATCCAGAATGGTCATTTGTTCAGCAATTTCTTGACTTGTTATCTCATTTATTGATGGTCTCCTGTAAACAAAAACAAAAATAGAATAACTTTGTATGTAAAACTAATACTATCACATCATAACGATTACAAAATGGGTTAAATTCCAATTTTGTTTTCATAATAACTAGTTGCAATATGCAGTGGTTATCATAAATGACCATTTGTTGAATACATGAACATGTATGTGATAATGATATGGCTGATACGTCAACAACGAACAAACTATTACAAAAAGAAAAAAGAAAAAAAGTAGTCACTGTCTATGAAAAGACCACTAATGAGGAAACATGAAACCTGATCCTGTAGATACATGTAGGAGGAAGTGTGGCCTCTGAACATACACTGGGGAATTCCCTCTTGCAAGAGCCTTGATATTTCACTTTCATTTGTAATTACTGTAAGAAACTGATCAACCCAAATAATTATGTACTGGGTATTTATCGGCTATCATTACAAATGTTGGACAAGGTATGGAAGTATTTTTGTCATGATATACATCTTATGGGGCATTGCAAGAAAGTGGCGATTGATTGCAAGTTGCAAAATTTGCAACTGATATTTGCAATCGAGTACAACTCAACTTTCTTGCAACGCCCCACTAGTCTCTGAAAATTCCTACGATTTTGTTAGGTTTAATAATTTGTCACGTTTCCAAGATCTCGACCTTGTCTTTAAGTATTGGACTGCAAGAATTCAGGAGCCAATGGGTTTCAAATTCTGCTAGGACCAACGACTTACGAGATGGAGATGCCGACGCCCCAGAGATGCTTGCTGCTGATTGTGAGGGCTTTCTTGTTGTTCTCTATCTTGGTGAGGACCTTGTCACGGAGGATCTTGGCCAGCATGAGCTCACCGTCGCAGAGGAGTTGGAATACCAGCTCCATCAACATCTTCAAGATGTCATCCTCTGTCTGGCCACTGTGAAGGAAGATGAAGATGATGATGAGGACGGTGGGGGTTACGATGATACACGTATCTCAAATGGCATCAAAGGATCACTGGTGGTGGCAGTATTAGTAGTAGTAGTAGTAGTAGAAGTAGCAGTGGTGGTGGTAGTAGTAGTAGTAGTAGTAGTAGTAGTAGTAGTAGTAGTAGTAGTAGTAGTAGTAGTTGCAGTATATGCATAGTTTTAGTCTTAGTCAAAGTTGGGTCCATAACATTATTACAAACCCAAACCCTAGCCCTAACCCTAACCCTAACCCTAAACTGAAACCCATCGACAAAGCTTTATCCAAACCCAAAATGTTTGACGAAATTAATCCTGGAGCGAACGTTGGATCATAATTCTATCTTCTACTTACATGAGATCTCCTGCTACCCTGAGGAGTAAGAAGAATGCGTTCCGGTTGGCTCTCCTGGACTTCATGTCAGTCTTGTGGCGGAACTTCCTATATCTGTTAAGAAGTTTGTTGAGCAGATCTCTTGAGTTGATGAACATTCTGTAGGTCGTCAGAAAAGCCTCATAGTACACTAGATCTGAAAAGCAAAAAAAAATAATAACAATAATTTAAAAAATGTATTATTATTAAAATGACAGAATACACGATAGGGAGTTCACTAAAATATTGGAATCACCCGTCTTTCCATATTAATTTGATGCGGCTCACGTCCAAGTGAGGCAAACGCCAATTTAAAATTCCTTTGCACTGCAGAAAAATGAAATGAGATGACCTCTACGTCCTGCGCAAAAGAATCCTTTCCTCATAAATGCAGTATATGATCACAATTGATTTATTGACAGATAAAATGGTCAGGGTGGTGCTTCTAATGTGTCTTAACATCTCAAAATAGAAGAAAAAAACTATCAGTGCCGTGTTCTGGTTCTCAATAAAGAACTTGTAACATTTCACCAAATGTTATTCGTTACATATACATTTTTGGGGTATTTTATATGCCTACCTTATGTTCTGTATTATTTTTTTCAGAGTAATCTTATCATGGCCGGAGAACATTTAAAGCCTATCTGCACTAGTTTGGCCAGGAGGGATTAGACCTCCCTGCATGGTCACTGACAGGTTGTTATCTCATCAAATCAGCTCTCAAATAACATAAGCAAAAGGAGATCATGGGGGACCAACATGTACTGCTTAGACATTGTTTGCTACATAGAGGGCGCAAGTAGCTACAAGTAGTGCAGTCTTGCTTTAAATCAGAGTTGATTAGATTTGATTAGATTTGAAGGTAACGATTCTTAAACGTAGGTTATGAACTTACCCTTTCTATCTGCATCGGCTGCATAGACAATTAATGCATTGATAGGACCTCCCTTCACTGGGTTACCTTCCTCCTGCAAAAACAAAATACAAAGCAAAATAATTAAAACTAATGACTACAATTGTGGAAAATAACTATCGTAAAAAAAAAATAATTTAGAACCAAGGCAGTTTCACAAATTGTTAACAGCTTTCCAATGGCAAGAAAATATAAATTGCAGTAGTTCAGTGTAGACATTAAAGTATGGATGGTTTTACTTGCTAATCACGTTCTATGTTTGAATCAAAATCAGAACGTGGCAGGAGCTTTTAAAAGAGCATTGATTTTGTTTTGTTTACGACCGACAACTATTTGTAAGGGCTTGTGGTCTCGACTTATACATTATACATTTAAGATCAAATACAGACCCACTTACAAGTAGCTCTGTGTACCACAACATTTAAACTTTTCATTATTTTCAACGATTCAAAAGCCACCTTCACTAACCCTCTCATTTGCTAATTTGTACTTTAAGGCTGATTTCAACCAATATACATGTATCTGCCTTCAAAGTTGGAGACAGCATAGATTATTCATACATTTGGGCTTGTTCTGACAATAATTGGGCTAGATTTCAGAACCTACACTAACCCTCTCATTTGCTAATTTGTACTTTCAGGCTCACTGTAACCAAAATACATGTATCTGCCTTCAAAGTTGGAGACAGCATAGATTATTCATAAGATTTGGGCTTGTTTTGACAATAATTGGGCTCCATTTCAGAACATTCGGGCTTGTTTTGACAATATTTGGGCTTGATTTCAGAACAATTGGCTTACTTACCTCCATACTCCATGATAAAAGTTCACTGACATCTAACATATCAAGGATACCGCCCTCACTAAAGCGCTCTTCTGGTTCAGACTCCACCTCCGCGGGCAGTCTCGCGACAGGTGACTGAGCTCCACTACAATAAAGAGAAAGTACATTGTTTAAAGGGAGGCTTTACTACTTCAGCTAGAAGGGATTAGACCACCCAGTGAGCCATCGAGGTCACTGTGACCGGTGGCTATCTCATTAACTCAGCTCTCATTTAACATAAGAAAAAGAGGATCATGGGGGACCAACAGGCACAGATTTGGGAAGTCTTCTATATAGAGGGAGCAAGTAGCTACAAGTAGGACAGTGTGCCTTTAATATTCGATCTCGTTCCTTCTTCTCTCATCCTCGCGACTGAGGGTCAGGGGTCGTGTTTCATACACCAATGCTCTCCACATCATTATACATACTGCAAATAATAAATTGCGGTAAAAATTAACTGTGAATTTGGCATTTAATTCTATCTGAAACTGCTTTTAAAAAAAACACAATGAAGTTGGAAACCTCATAATGCAAAGTGCATATTTTGAATTATTAAACAGAGAATTTGTCCCTTTTCAATTAGTTTTCTTTATTTCTTAGTGTGTTTCATAAATACAATGGACCTCAGAAAACAGTATCACTGTTGCAGGATATAATAAGAATACAATAATAATAATATTGGATATTTATATAGCGCACATATCCACCCCGCACTGTGCCCAAGGCACTCCAATATTACGCCGACTCTGCTAGGCTACCGATTTCGGTGCTCACAGCATTCAAGGAATTCCTTTCTACCGATACCCATTTAACACCCGGGTGGAGAGTGGCAAATGAAGATTAATGTCTTGCCAAAGGACGTTAGTGTCGCGGAGGGTCTAAATCTTCCTCTAGACTTACTTGTGTGGGTGTTGCTGATTGCCGTTTTCTATCATACTCTCTGATTTCTTCTTGAGGTCGTACATGGGCGATGACGGCCTCTCTGGATTTGTATAGTGCCTCGACCTCAACTCGGAACTCTGTCATCAAATCAAACAATGATATTATCAGTTTTCACATAGAATTATGAGAAATAGAAATTTTTCTTCCTCTTTACAATTGACATTCAACATATCACTGTATTATCATCTATCAACCTACATTGTGTTGTATTTAATTTATTGCAATTCATAGATATAAATTAATATTTTTAATCATTAATTCATGAACAATAATTAAGGTACATCTTACATCATGCTGTACAGATATGTGTTTAATTTTTCATACTTTATTAATTTGCAAACATGTTGATTGTTAACCTGCAATGAACACAGTATCATTGTTAAAGGGTGTCACTGCAACTCCCACTCTCTGAAAATATTTTTTTGGTTAAATTATCGTAGAACTCACATTTGCGTCTTTCTTCTTCGGTGGAATCGCCGGGGGCAGCTCGTCGCTATCGTGACTACCCTGCGACATCGTCTCGTACCCCTTGTCGTAGCTTCGCCCCGCGACCCCCGGCGACGGCTCGAACCGCTCCGGGTGCGAATGGTGACCCCTGGCCACGCTGCACGTGCTGCAGGTGGAGACGGAGTCCGAGAGCCCCTGGCCCTCGAGGCGGTAGGACTGCTGGAAGAACTCTTCCCGGCGCTGCATGTACTCATAGGGCGAGGCGTGGCTTGAGCAGTTGTAGGCTAGCATGTGGGTGGAGATTGACGATTGCTGGAAGGACAGCTCGACACCGTCCGTGTTGTAGCCCCCCACAAGGTCAAGGTAAGTATTGACTGAAATGGAATGGTAAAGGGGTGATTAAAATGTCTCAGAAAGGGATACAATCATAAAAGAGACCAGTTTAAGAGACCGGTTTAAGAGACCAGTTTAACAGCCAAGCCCCTTTTCTATTATCTTTTTGATATATCACAGTAATAGCATCACATCACAAGACAAATGATTCAGATCTGTCTTCATGGCAACACCTATATAAAAGCCACCTCCCATCAGTGATCACATTATCTTCTGCTGTTTCTTTATACATGTAGAAGGAAATACATGTACCTGAATCATGTGATGTACAACCTGTTTACAAATAAAGGCCACCTGTCTATAGTGGCCACTGTTTCCCTTCGGTGGCTTTTATAGACAGGTTCGACTGTATGTATACTGGATGTTGGTTGCCTAATAAATGGTTTGCTAAGATCTTAATGGATCATGTCATGTGGACATATAGACTTTTCATGTCAATGCCATTGATTATCGATCATTAACCCACTGATTACTGAATTCATTCATTCCCATAGGCTTAATACAGTAGCCACCAGGGGGGTGTTTCACAAAGATCCTAAGTTGAACTTATTTCTAAGTTGGACTTTTAAAAGTTATGAAAAGCCGTTAGCATCTATGAAAATATTTTGTAAAAGTTATTCTAAAAGGCATCAAGTGCTGATTCCAATCATTCATTATCAAGGAGATTTCATGTTCTTGATGAGGAATGCACAAAAAATCTAAAATAGTTAAATTTCCGCTTTTGAATATATTTTATTTCAAGAGTACAAATGGTTCTCCATAATTCATAAGTCCAACTTAGAGTGAAGTTCAACTTAGGATCTTTGTGAAACACCCCCCTGGTCCCATAGGTAAAGGGTTAATAACTTACTGTGTTTGTTCGTTTTTGGTGGGAGAGGCGGTGGACCATCTGATTCCTGCCTAAGGTCGATATCCCCGCTAGACGTAAACTTGGCGATCCCTTTCGGGGTTGCGCATGCCACCACGTCCGGCTGTGGTGCCTCCGTCACAAACACCTCCTCCTGCAGCTTCTTGCACAGGGCATCCGCTTCCTCTGGCGCGAGGTTCTCGTAAGCGGAAAGCTGCCTGACCGTCCTCGGCTTGACCTTGGCCGGGAGTGCAGGAGGGGGCGTGCTGTCGCCCCCGCCGCAACCCTCCCCGCCGACGCCTACACCGGTATAACCCCCGTTGGTAAGTCTCCTCTCTTGATAGATCATGACCGATTCATTCAAGGAATACGATTGCATGCTCTGGCTCAAGGGGGCGGGGCTCAGGGTGCCTTCCGAGCGACCCGACGTGAAAGAAAGTCTCGACATATCAATGCTCTGCTCCGTCGTCGTCGTCGACGTCTCCCAATCGTCGCTATGGTAACTCGAGTGCTGGGTACTGTGCATGGAGTCGGGTCTGCTGTGGGAGCTGGCGTTGCTCAGGTCCGACTGCTGGCTCGTCACCGACATCGAGCTGCCGGAAAACGATCGGCTCAGGTGGGGGTTGTTGTTGTTGTGTACTGAAGGATGCATGGGGAAGGGCCCGTCGTGGGGTTCGTTGTCGTACAGAGAACTACGCTTAATGGTTTTCTTCGGTGGCAGTGGAGGTACAGGTAGATTCCTGAGATGAAGTACAAAGTTTGGATAATATGTTACTAATGTAATTCTACAGGCTGACGAGCTTGATCATTGGCAGATATTGCAAGCTTGAATGATGAAATTTATGACGTTTAGGTACTTAAAAACCCATAATCTACATCAATTCCATGATTACATACAGCAAATACCTTTACACTTCAGTTAGGTTCTAGAGAAAACCACCTTCAATGAAAGACATCACATTCATGTACATAAGCTTTACACCCAATACATGAACATACGATACCATGCCTGGGGAATTAGTGTTGAAATAGGGTTCAATGCAACATACTTTCGTCTATGAAAATTAACATGTCATCTAGTTACCAAGAAAACAGGCTAGTAACCCTCGCCAATTTTAATACAAAAACATCCATGATTCAGGGCTTCATATATTACACATATTGAGTATCCAATAGAGGATGTGTCATGCACTAGAACAGCTGTTCCAGTACACATAACACAACACCTACACAAAACCACAAATGAGGAATAAAATCCAACTCTCTTCCTGTTAAACTAAGCTACTGATTATATACTTAACAATCTCTTGGAAATGAAGTACAAATGATACCATTGCCCATAAAGCTGATATAATTGTTTGTACCTCTTTTTCATGAAATGATTATTACAATATGGTTTATTGATAGATAAAGTTTATATCTTCTCACAATGTTAAAGATCAATCAGAGAGTCACAGAAATTGATATATTAATTTTTCAGAGGAGATATACACTTTATTAAGAAAAACGAACTTTTACTCAATTTAACTACAAATTGAATACACTACTCAGTACTGTATTCATGTACTAAATGATTCAACAAAAACACTATCATCATGAAATTGATCTCTTACTTTCATTCATTGATTTCATTCATTAATTTTATTCCTTTATTTGGTTACAGAATCAAAATAATCTGTACTAAATGAGGTTGAAACCCTATTTTCCTAAACCGCTTAGAGGCATTACGCAATTTGCGGTATAGAAATATCTTATTATTTTTATTATTATTTTAGTACAGTTCCTCATCAATCTTTAAACTAAGTAAGGGTCATGACCATGGCAGTTCTAGAGGGGGATGGGGCTTAGGGGGCTCAAGCAACCCCCATCCCCATTCTAAATTATTCTTCTAGAACAGCACCCGAAACATGGTTCAACTTCGTCCACTTCCATAAGTGTAGCAAATGACTTACTCTGTGACAAGGATGCGTTGAACGGGAAGGGGAGGTTTGGGCGGCGCACTGGTAGGGTCCAGGGCCGGACTACCAAACTCCACAGGGCAGAACGGAGATATGGGAGACTTCTGAAGGATCTCCTGCTCCCGGGGACTCAGAGGGCGCTGTTCCACCAAGATGGCTCTGAAATGTTAAGGGAGAGAGAGAGAGAGAGAGAGAGAGAGAGGGGAAAGCACACTTTAATACATTTGAATGTATTGTGCAATATTTGTCTAGTTTATATAATCAAAATGTAATGATATTATTAAGCTTCATTTCTTTCTTTTTTCTTACAGAAGAATTTAAAGTGATCCCTTTATCAGTAGCTAATTATATAATATTTCTTCACAATTACAATTACATTCATAATTAAACAAATGATTAAAGACCATTTCACTCCATATATTTTTCCATATATTTGATTGATGTATCTTTTCTGCAAACTTCTAATTCTCACATATTCCTCATATTCAATGCTGAAATGACGACTTACTCCACAGTATTTGAAGGTCTGGTGTTGGCATTGCAGTTATTGAGCGCTTTCGGTGACCCGTGAGGGCTGACCGGCGACGACGATGCCGATGACAATGATTCTTGACCCTTCTGACTGGACGAGGTCTGCTCCGATGAGGAGGACATCGATCCCGAGGGCGACTGGCGTCCGGCCTCGTTCCGATTCTTGTCCTGGAGTTGGAGTTTCTCAATGGACAGCTTGACCAGTTCACTGATGCCGTCCTTGACGGCGCTGGTCACCTGGGTGCCTTGGTTCTTGTCCATGACCGACTGACCGTAGAGGACTATCTTGTCGGCCCAATGGATCAGGTTAGCGAGGCTCTGGTATACTTGGCTATGCCGCGAACTCAATGCCGAGCTGTAGGAAAAACATAAGATCCTTTTTAAAAAAGTGGCTTTCAAACTATTTGGAAAAAAACAGGTGAGATTATACTGTTTCCAGTGGTAGATATGCCACTCTAGTACCAGGACAGAAATGACACCACAAAACCAAAGGGTGGGTCATTTTTCCCCCAAGAAAAGCATCACTTAAAACTAGTGGCTCTCAGCCCTTTTGACCTCGAGGTCATTTAAAATATGCCCACTCTACAAAACCAAAGTGTGGGAAATTTTACGCCCAAGAAAAGCATCACTTAAAAACTTGTGATTCTCAGCCTTATTGACCTCAAGATCATTTAAAATCTGCCCACAGCCTTTAAAAGTGATTATCGAACAGAGAATTTAAAATGGAGGCAAAGGGGGAGGGATCACCCCCCCCCCTCTCCTCCCTCTCATCTAGTTATGCTCTTGGCCACTGAACTGTCTGGGGGGGGGGGAGGGAGTCTATACTTGTAGGATGAGAGGAGGGTATAGAAAAAGGTACTAAGTTTCTTCTTGCTTGAGATAAATATGAAGTGTATAGTATTGAATTACATGAGCCCTTGTAGATCTGTCTGCTAAGAGCCAGGAGGGTGTTAACTCTAAGCAAAAGTATACAAGATAAGGCCCTTCCGGCTCTCAAAAAGCAAATGAGGGGGGGGGGGGGAATACCGGTAGTGGGGTACAAACCTTTTTTCTTGTTTGAGACAAGCATCAAGTTAAGTATTAAGTTCTATGACCTTTTGTTGAACATTCTGCTGAGAGCCAGAAGGATGTTAACTAAAATACATGTACAATATCACTACAGTTAACGCCCTTCTGGGTCTTAGGTGAGAGAAGGGAACATCATAGGGTACTACAAACCTTTCTTCTTGCTTGAGACAAGCATTGAGTGTAGTATTGAGTTCCATGATCTCTTGCAGAACCTTGGTTGTGCTCCCTGGTAACATGATTAGGGTCTCCTTCTGAACAACATCTGTTAAGAAAAATAGGAAGAAAAAAATAAAAGTAGATGATCGAACTTTAAAACAAACACACTGTTTGTAAAAATAAAAAAAATGAAACAACCATAATTTTATATTAAAAAAATTATTAAAAAAAAAAGAAATTCTCCTTCTGGGCCCTGTCCAGTAAAAAGTTGTGATTAATCGCATCCTATCTGCAATTTACATCAATCGCAACTATGTACATCAGAGATAGGAGACCGCAAACTTGAGATTGATTTGAGGACTTGGAATTGAAATCAGATCAATCGCAAATCTTTATAAGATGGGGGCCTTGGACAACATCTGAAGAAAAAAAGAAAATTTGGACACTTCCATGTTTAAAGTAAAGTGTTGGTTAAAGTCGGGGGGAGGGCCTAAAATGCAGATTACCTTGATTTTTTTTAACATGTCTTATCAACAGAAAGAGAGAAGGATTTTTTTTAAATCTATGTTATTCAATACTACTGACAAAAGAAGTACCTTGAGATTTTCACTATGGCAATACTTCTTGATACAAAAAAGCATGCTTTTTTGTTTGTTGCATGTCTTAATAATTCCCTTTCCAAGCATGAATGTACAAAAAGGAAAAAAATGGGGGTTGCTAATTCTCCCTCCCCCCAAAAAATACATATTAATATAATCATCAATTTCTCTTAATATCATTGTCCTTGAGAATTTACCATCCCATCTATTTGATTCAGAACCTGTTCATAATTGGTCTGGCCATCTGGATAACATGTATGTAGATGACATTCTAGTATTCAGAAAATATATACAGTGTATAGTAATGTTACTAAAGTATGATTTTGTCCAATCCCAAATGCACGCTTTGTTTGTTGTCAGGCTTTCTAATTCTATTGTGCAATGTTTACTGTATTGAATACTGACTAATCTGTAAACAAATTAAAATAGTTCTGATTATCAGAATGTAAGAATGTAATAAATGACATTTCTATTTCTCAAAAATAGAAACTGTAATATGATTTTGTCAGGTCATGAGCAGAAGGGTGCTATGTCATACTCCTGAACACCTTAACAAGGACTTTCTGCCTCTCAACACAGGTTTTTAATAGCTAACATGAATAACAATGTTGAATGACATAAACTCAATCATATGGACTCATTGTGTGAGAAAAGTACTTCATTCCATGAATTTCAATGAAACATGAAGACCTTCCAGTGGCAGCCAAGCACATTACAATTGACAAAGACTTTGGAAAATAATCAATAGTGTATAAAGCAATGTCACACATGTGCATTTCAAAGTTCCCTTATACATAATGTATAAACCAATAATAGAATATGTACCATCTGTCATTTACAAGTATTTAACCATCATTTGTGGTTTTTCATGCCTGCTATTTCTTACAATGACAATGACAATATAAAAGCATAGTATAAGAAACACTGTCAACTTGTCAAGTTCATTTTTTATAAAGAATAGCCTTATTTCTAGGACTTTTCAATATGTAACTGAAAATTTGGCTTGTGTAACAATCACTTGTGGTTTTAGAAAGCCTCCTATTTTTGACATTGACAATGAAACTTAGGCAAATACATGTAGGAAATAATGTTTCAATCATTTACATTCATTTTCCAGAATGCCTTGACATTTCATTTACTGCATTGTCACCCAATTAGCATTTTACATTTACCCGGTATTCAGTCCTCAGTGCCTCTTATTTACCAAACTGGCAATTAGAAACAAGGTTTAAAAAACAATACCATGTTAACATTTTTTTCTGTTTTATTTTTTTTAGATAATAAAATTACTCCATTAAATAAATGGCTGAATATTCCACATGCAGCTTTTAAAAGAGTACTAATTCAGGATCTTTCAAAAACAATACCATGTTAACGTTTTATCCTTTTTTTATGAAGATAATTAGATTACTCCAATTGAATAAATGGCTGAATATCCATATGCAGCTTTTAACAGAATTAATTTATGATCTTTCAAAAACAATACCATGTTAACATTTTATTCTTTTTGTAGATAATGAAATTACTCCAAATGGCTGAATATTCCACATGCAGCTTATAACAGTACTAATTTATGATCTCTCGTCACTCCTAACCATTCGACTTTGACACGAGGGTATATTAAAAAGTTTGCTAACAAGGTTAAACAATGATGGAATACAATCGGAAAGCAGGAAATAAGTATTCACAGGCTCATCATCCAAACTGAAACAGGAAAGAGGAAATGAAACAATGCGGTGGGTTTGAATTTAGGTCAACCTAATCGTTATAAAATGAGAGCTCCTAATTTACCTCTTTGACTAATTTGGTTACATTGCAGTGTCACTTTGAGCTACGCGTCTGTCAGTGTCATTAAAACATTTTTACATACCGGTACATGCTGCCAATTATAAATAATATAGATGGCATTCAATGCTACTACATTTTTGTATTGAATTTACAAATGCATGAATATTCTTAAAGCCCATCTGTACTAGTTTGGCTAGGAGGGATTAGACCACCAGGAAGGTCACTGACAGGTGGTTATCTCATCAACTCGGCTCTTAATTAACATAAGAAAAAGAGGATCATGGGGGACCAATGGTCACTGATTAGGCATTGTTTGCTATAGAGAGGGAGCAAGCAGCTACAAGTAGTGCAGTTCCGCTTTAAATTTACAAATGCATGACTATTCTTAATTTTGAAGGGAAAACATGGTTTTGCCCCAAAATTGCAGACTGATAATAAAGATTTAAAGAAGAAAAAACAAATCAAGTTCCATAATAATGCACTATCATTTCAGCTAGGAATGATGAATTTCCTACGACCAAGTACAAAGTGTGACTCACGAGTCATCCTGTCATTAAAACGAGAGGGACTTTTTTGCAAAAATGTCAGGCTTCAATTTGCCTACAAATACAATAAATATAGTGTACAAATATTGATAGTGTTTACTACCGTTAACCACTAGCCACAATATACCCATAAATATGTTGTCCTTTTTCACTATAAGTGGTGGTTGCATTTCCTTGTTTCCTTTTAGAATATACATATATCGTCCTTGTTTTCACGAAGTGACGGTAGTGAGGAAAATCGTCACGCAAAGTGAATGCAATTTTTTTTCACTACCGTCACTTCGTGAAAACAGCGATGATATATGAAAACAAACAATGGTCTTCAGTAAGATTGAAACAGTTTGAAGGTTTCCTGATCTATTTATTTTGATTCTGAATGCTGTAAAACCAGACATTTTTGCGACATAAAACTTCTGCAAATTGATAAATAATAACAACAACGTCCCTATTGAAAGGATAAATTCATGACTTACAAATATTTTATGCTGTGGTTCAAACGAATTATCGTATTTGTCGCACAAAACTTATGGAAAGTCTCAATAACTACAGAAATTTATGAAGTTCATCCAATAAATGTGTCTGGTTTTATACAGCATCTATTTCTTTTTAATTTTTACAATAACTGTTATTTTTACTACCTAAAACTTCTTCACTGTACCAGTTATTGAGTACATGTACGGGGTTAAGATTCTGGTTTGCACTGCAGTGTCTAAGCAATTTGTATTTGAACTGTACATGTGGTTTCATCTTGACCTGAAAGGGGAATAATTCACACTTTAACAAAATTTTCCCTCTGAAATTCATCTCATTATGATATCAATTTTCATTTTCATTTTCATTTTCAGTTGCACTTGAATTAGGCTACATGAAGCATTGAAATGCTACTACTTCTATTTTTGCTCTCAAATTTCATATATTTGTAAGTAGTACATGCACATTTGTTTATGCTTTCACTAACTTGTATCCTTTTAAATTCTTTCACTTTCCTGTGGCTCTCGATTCCTTTCAAAGCAAACTTTTCACAATAACACTTTTGAAAGGTAAACAAAAGAGGAATGACACCTCTTTCTCTTTCGAAAGTGTTCATCAACACTTAGAGAAATGAAAGAAAATTTGAAAATTGATTCATAAATGAAGAACAAAATGTTTTTAATCTGGACTATAAAGTATCTTTTTCAAAATTTGAGCAGAATTTAAAAAGATTAACCCTGATTTTGTGATTTAATGATTTTGTGATTTAAAGGGAAAGTCCACCCCCAAAATAAGTTTGTTTCGATAGAGGCAGAATAATAAGAAAATCAGGTGAGTGAAAGTTTGAGCAAATTCTGAATGAAAATAAGAAAGTTATGAATTATTGAAGTTGTGATCAATCAAATACAAATTGGCAACTCTGTGACTTATTATACGAGCTCTCCTTCATTTGCTTTGTGCATAATATTCCATAAAATCATGTTTTCTTCGTTATTGATGACGGAATATATATTTGTTCCTTGCAGGGGGAGTATAGAAACATATTTGCAATTATTATATTTAGGGTGCATGTATGGTTGAAATTTTTCTTGAGGGAAAATGAAAATTTTAGATTTTTTTAGTACTGAGCAAATGGAAGTTGAGCTCGCATGATACGTCATAGAGTTGCCAATTTGTGTTTGATTGATCACAACTTCAAAAATCCTAACTTCCTTATTTTTAATCGGAATTTGCTCAAACTTTCACTGACTTGTTTCTCTCATTTTTCTACTCCTATTAAAACTAACTTAATTTCAGGGTGGACTTTCCCTTTAATGATTTTCTTTTCGGGTATCTGCAGCTGATCAGAGTCAAGTTGAACTGTACAAATAATTAACAACACTTGACCCCCTCCCCCTTTCCCCCTTTTTTTGCTACACTACATTCTCCTTTTCTACATGTATTTCATATTCATTAATAGCCTATATCCAATCCAATCCAAAAGATATTTGATATAGCGCCTTTTCCTTGAAGTTTCAAAGCGCTGCACAATAATGACCTTTATCCAAACTGCAAGCTTTTCTCCTGTCAAATTACCTGTCAAACATCACAAGTGCACCACAATGTGCACGATATATCTTGCAGTAAGTGGACCATGTCTTTATTATTTCCCTGTTATTTATATCATGAGTTTCACTTTCTAAATATGAGATGACATCAGGTGGTATTTCCTTCTCATGTAGAAAATGTAATGTCCAATCAATTTCTATCCCCACTCATATATGTAGAAACACAATTTTCCCCTTATTTGAACATTTTATAGAGGTGGCGTTATGAACATACATTTTAGGAAAACAATTTCAGAAAGAAACTGATGAGGTAAAATCTACAATGCTTAAAATATTATACAATCAGGCAGTGATATGAAGAAAAAAAAAAAATAAGTTCAATCAAAAAAATTTCAAAATTTTTCTCCAGACTAATTATACTTTTATTAATAATAAACCTTGGGGGGGGGGGCAATGGGATCAATACCAATACTTTTCAGCCCACAATCTCATTATTTGTCATCATTCATCTTCATCTTCATAATCTTGATTAGTAACTAGAAGAGATTGTCATTCTCGGATGAATGAGTTGGCAGAGAGGCAGAACCTTGGTCTTTAAAGCACATCTGGTCTGGCGGCCATTTTGAATCTGTCTTTCTTACTCACAAATAATCAGGCTTCAATGATTTATTATATATTCATTTTTTGTATGTTGTTGTATTTTTCTGTCTTTCTAGTGATAATCCCCCAAAATGCGTGTTGTACCTCAATAAATTGATTTTATTTGATTGTGGGGTGTTCCCAACACAAGCATTTGCCTCCCAGGTTTCTTACTCAGGACTGCATTTTTCAATTTACTTTACTGTACTGAGCTTTTTGTTTATTGTTTACCATATTGTCAATGAGAAATTCAATTCACAATTCAAACTTGATTTTTCTTGAGGGGATAGAAGGAAAGGTCTCTATTTTACCCAGGAGTCTAACCTTCTTCTCATTGACATTATGGTAAACACCAAGTTCAACTTAGTGAGAGAAAACATGGATGAATATTAAAAACAGCCAATAATTAAATCAATTATATACAAGCACAACATTGATAAACTCGCAGGTACAATGCACATGTAACACTTTACCCGTCAATACTGATACCCCAAGCATGACTTGTTAAAGCTCAAAGTAGGACCAGGAGACATAAATAGTTTCAGAATTCCCCATGGTTAGCTACCTAGTCACCATCTATGATTGATCTGACGCTCTGCTTAAATAAATTACAAACTCTGTTGAAGTCTGTTCACACATCATCAATACAAGTGGAGCTCTATTCCAGAAGAGATCCTCTTCTGAATAAATTAGAAACCGTTAGTGAATGTTCTATTTAACTCCTGTTGTTCTTGTTGTGTGTATAATTCATATGATATTTCATTTTATGTTTCATCTTCAATATTTTTTTCTTCTCAAGTTCACCTTGAGCATTTGGCGCCTTACAAATCATCATCATCATGATCATCGTCGTCGGCGTCGTCATCATCATTATTTAATCGTTATTTGTAAAAATTAGTGTTACTGTTATTATTATTGTTTTCATTGTCATTGTTGTTAATATTGCTGTAGTTATTGTTCTTGTTCTTCTTCTTATTATCATTATGATGATGATGATGATATATATCAAAGTGGCCCTCAATGCTCATCATATTCTTAACATGAACATTCAATAATAACTTACCAAGGAACCATTTTAATGCTGTCAATACAGCCTTCTCTGACCCTCTGAGCTTGTCCACATCCTGCATAGAAAGAAAAAGGGGAAAACAATGAACTTTTCAAATCCTTTTAAAAATAGTCCATGTTTCCTTGAATCCTTGCCATCTTCATACCGGACAAAAAAAGAAGGTACCGATTCTAAAATACATATCTGTTAAAAGCGATGAGAAGAACATTAACTTTTTGCAAATTAATATGAGCTCTCGCACCAAGCAGATGATATGCATGAGATAGTAAAAGAGAAGATTAAACAAAATTACAGAAACTATAGCTTGACAGATATCGAGAGTATAGCCAAGTAGACACATATCTTTAATTCAATCATTTCAATTCAAAGAGATTTTGTCCCCAAAATTACATATAGTGAATTATGTTTTTTAGGGGGTGGGCTAAAGGTATGAGTTTTGGTATTTCAAACTGAGTTTCATTTTTCTTCAGTTACAAACCATACCACTAGTACCTAAATCAGTCTACAGTGACTGTATAGAGTTACAATAATTTTTATTGGCAGAGGATCTCTATCTCCCACAATCACCCAGCAGCACCACCTAAACTTTTCATTGCAATGACTCAGGCCTCTTAGTCATTGCAACTTTGTGCAACGAACGAACGGTGCCAGTGAGAGCTGACCGACCGAGAGAAGGCCATCACGTTCGCTATAGCTGGGTTCGAGTCAGAGAGCAAGTCTGGTAGAGCGATTAGGAGTTAACGCCTTGTCTGATTTCTTTTCCGTTCGGCCAGTTCCCTGATATTTTATTTGACATTTGAGCGGAAAGATTTCGACCCTCCCTCAATGTATATCAAATCATTTAAACTAGTCTCTCTCTGTTTCACACTGTGGACATAGTTCCTCAATCCTCATAGTGCTAGAGTAGCTACACATATCCCAATGAAAATGAGCAGATAATAGAATTACATACAGGAATTTCAAAAACGAAGTAGAGATATTTTTTAGTAATCACGTTTTGAATTGTCTCTTGTCTGTTTGGAGCCAGAGGGAATTAACTCATATAATTCCAAACAGAAACTATTTCAGTACATAATTATGACACTACATATAATAAGGAATTTTTGTCATATATTAAAGTAATTCATGAAAAAGATGGGGGAAATGCTATAAAGTTGTACATACATTGTAATTGTATATTCATTTCTCTACTCATTACAGCTCGAGCATGAGTCTAGTCTATCGTTTATGTATACTTCATCGGTTCAACATCAACATCTATTTTTACCAGCAAAGTAACCAGCCCACACTAGTAAAAATAAAGAAAAGTGATAGAAAGGGGAAAGAAAAGCGATAGAAAGGGGAAAGAAAAGCGATAGAAAGGGGGAAGAAACTGAACCGGTCATCAGTCTGGCACTGTGAATTAAATATAGTAGCTTCTGCTATGATTTGATAATCCAATGACCCAAGGACAATGGCTAACACTGGGGTACAGATAGAAATATAGATAAGTGATTTATAGAAAGAGATGGGGGACAGAGAGGGGGAGGGGAAGGAGCGATGGAGCAAGAGAGAGAGAGAGAGAGAGAGAGAGAGAGAGAGAGAGAGAGAGTAAGAAGGAAGAAAAGACCACATACAACTTAAAAGAGGTTAATCCAACTTTAATCCAAATTTAACTCTCAAGTCTCAATATTTCCGGCAATTGTTGTCCTGCCGTTTCCTATTGGGGCCTTGCAAGAGGATATACATAGATTTTATTTCTTTCTATTATCCTATAACTATAGACTAAACAGGAAAATACCATATACACTGTAGGTGTTCATAGTGTATTTCTGATACAGGCAAGTTTGTCAACATTGTTTTTAAAAATATCATTGAAAATGAATGTATTTTAATACAGGACTTGATTTTATTTTCATAATATTTTCATAATCATGTATTGATGGCCTTGCAAAGAAAAGAAAACACTTAGTAGTTCCGCAAACAATAATATGTAAATGTGAAATATGGTTGTTATTAATGCATCATTCAGCCAATTAACAGCTGTTTGTCTCTAGCAGAGTGATGATATACTGAGAGGGTTTTACGAATCAAAACAATCATTTCTGGCAAGCATAGAAAAGAGCCATGGATGAGAGGATTAAACTGAAAAATATGTTTTCCAAAGCACTTGGGGACAACCAAATCAGAGGCCTTCAAGTCCATCTTTGTCTTTGTCTGGCTTAGTCAGTTCATAAAAACATTGTCAATATTTTTGTAGTTATAAAATACAGTTACAATGTACATGTATACAAGCTGTTAACGATCAAACTATCTTTTCTATTATGAGGTTTCTATTAAATGTAGCATCAGTTGATTTTGTTGTAGGTTATATTTTTAGGAATCAACTATGACTTGTGAATATAAAACCTTCAAATTCATGCATCCCTCCACTTCCTATCCTATCCACAGTGAACAAATATAAACTGGATCACCTGCTAAAAGAAAGCCTATGCCACCCCCCCCCCACCCCCACATCCCTCCCCATCGCCCCCTTCATGCCCTACCTAAATCTGCTAGAGACTTGAATGAAAAGGCAGGCACCTTGAATCATATTCAGCTTTTAATCGGAAGGAAGGGAGTATTCGATCAATGACCTGGCAAATTCTTGAATGTTCTTTCTTTAGTTTCTATAGAAGCAGACTCCCTAACTTCAAACTTCAAAGTACATGTACATGTATGTAATTTAAGTCTTTAAAGAAACTGAAACTTCATTTCAGCTGAATGACCGAAACCTCCCTTCCCCCACTATTACTTGTATTCACGATTTCTTTCCAATGCATACAAATCGTCTGCTGTGTACAGGAAGAGCATTATATAATACAAAGGCATAATTGTTTTCCAATCAAATGCAAGAAGGGCTTTAACTCACAAATGTGAACTAATACAGCGTAATAGCGCCCTTTGGCTTTCAGGAGGCAATTGTGATTTCTACATTAGAAGTTGTGCCACAAAAGTTATTTTCAGAGCACCCAAAAGTTATTTTCAGTGCACTCCAAAAAAATCAAGAGTCTGACTCTGAAAGGGTCAGAGGTCAGACTCATATCATGAGTGGTGCTCCAACAAACCCTATTTTAGTGTTTACTTTTTAATATGAATTCAACAAATTAAGACTAAGTTCATGAAATATTATCAAAACATAAAGGGGATCTTAGTCTGTTATTCTACCTGCTATTAATTTTATTTTCCATTTTTAAGAGCATGTTGTGACAAAAAACAAGACTGCACATGTATGAAAATATGATACAAATAACTATCAGAGTATACACACGTTTGCATCGCTCTCCATGACACTTCCCCATCACTTGTTCAGCTTTATTAAAGGTATAGACCAGTTTTGGAAACGCCCCCCCTTTCAAAAAATGAGATGGAAGCTCTAATTACCAATCATGTGAAAGAATATTTTTTGATGTGATGATACAAACTTTGCCGGGAAACCGCCTACTAGTTGATATATTTGGTGAATTATTATATCTATTCGGACTGGATAGATATCGCGTAGTCCCATATACATCTTTCTGTGTACAGTGCTGGTAACTTTACCAAGACTGGGCCAAATTTCTTATCATTTTGATGATTCCAGAATCTTGCAGTACACGCCAATACTTATATGCTAGATGATCGACCTTTTCTGATCGATTCCACAACATTTCTTTCACAATACAATTGCATGACCAGAACTGGTCTATACCTTTAAACAAGGAATACATGAAGCATTCTTCAAACAAAAAGTGTGATGTTTTTCCCTTATGTTCCTCTGTCCCTTTATAAATCTTCTTTCCAAAAATACATTCTATGAGCCATGATTCTGTGAGAGCTGTGTGTGCTGATGTAGAGTTTAGAGCTAGACGTGAGTGAGTGGAATCTAAAGCATTTGTAATATCTGTGTACGTTACAGCCTGACCTTCAACTAAACAACGCAGACTGGCGCATCTATCCGATCAAAATATACCTCAATGGGGTCAATTTATTTATGCACTACAATTCCAAACCAAAAAATAAATTCACCCTGTTATACTGTTTTATTGAACAAGAAGCTCATCTTATTTAATACATTAAATCTCAAGCCCCAAAATCTGTGTTTAATTTATGTTTTGAAACTAGCACGAGACTGTCAGCCCTTGAAATACAATTTTTTTTCTATATATTTAAAATTTTAAAATGCATTATAATTGTTTAATGCATTTTTCCTGTTTTGTCAAAACAGAAAGCAATATCGAAAGCACTTTGGCAAAGTTTACATTTTACAATGTTTAATAAAATCCTTGATTGGGTAGAACTACAATCTATTTTCTTCATCCTAAACAAAAATCCAGAAGCTTTTTTCCCTCTGTCAGCTTATAACGCCCATAAGGCGTGTCTGCACTATCTCGAGATTGCCAAATATCCAGCTATTTGAACTATCCCGATCGCAAACTATCCAGCCAATTTGCGTCTTCATTAGAACGAAGTAGCAAATTAGCTGGATAGTTGGTCGGGATAATATCCCAAGATATCTCAGTCTAGTTTGCAAAATATCCCACTATTTCCGAACTAGCGGGATAGTTTGCGACCGTCTTCATTAGACCGAAGTACGGAGTCAAATATCCCGATCCCATCATGCACACCGATTTCCGGTTTTCTGTGTTAACTAGTTGTACTAGCGCGCGCACATGCAATTTATACCGCTCAGCGGTGCATGATGGGATCGGGATATTTGACTCCGTACTTCGGTTTAATGAAGACGGTCGCAAACTATCCCGCTAGTTCGGAAATAGTGGGATATTTTGCAAACTAGACCGAGATATCTTGGGATATTATCCCGACCAACTATCCAGCTAATTTGCTACTTCGTTCTAATGAAGACGCAATTAGCTGGATAGTTTGCGATCGGGATAGTTCAAATAGCTGGATATTTGGCAATCTCGAGATAGTGAAGACGGGCCTATAGGGAATTTTTCCTTCTCAAGGTAATCTTGTTTACATTTCATACTACAGAAACTAATAAAAGAAACTGAAAGTATCATTGACAAACTGTTTGGTCATTCTTGCATCCAAAGTTTCAGACACGTATATCTTTTAGAATATTGACCCTTTTTACAGTATTGTTTGTGGTTCTGACTCTGAAAATACTATGTTAAGTTGTTGACTATTTAAAAAGACGGATAGTTTCAATTGATTGATCAACAATAACAGAAAATAAATTTCAACAATCTAAACATTTCTTCATCAAGATTACTGAACAATTAACAAAGGGAAATCCATTATGGATATCAGCAATATCTTTCAAATGCAAATTGATTCATAAAGATATCTTTATTTTTTTAAACAATAGTCTATGAAATATTTAGGAAGAAAACCTCAAGGCTGATAATTGATTTGATTGCTCTTTAAAACACCCCCAAACATAATAATGAAACCTATTCTATAATTACACTTCATTGCCACGTCTCATAAGGCTGGTCTTCATCACCTCGAAATCGCGTCTTCACCAGACCGATACACCCATCACAAACTAGCTCGGACGGGCGCAAATTACAGCCTGCAATTTCCCAAATAGCAGGATAGTTTGGAAACAAGTTCAAGATTTCTAGGGACATTTCCTCAACCAAATATCGTGCTAATTGCAACTGCGGGCTGATGAAGACGCAAATTAGCTGCATACTATGCAATCGGGAATTCAGGATAGTTTTAAATAGCAGGTTATTTGGCAAACTTGAGCTGATGAGGACAGGCCTTTAATATAGACAGATATTGACATTCAAAGCAAACGTGGCCTTTCATACAAGAAAGCGATAACCTCGAGCAAACAATGAACTTTAAGGTCCAACTGGCACAATATTTGTTTGACTTCTGAATTATGATATACATGTGTGTAGCATGTACCTCATCGAGCTTGCTACATGTAATGGAATATATGGGATCAACTGACATTGCATACTGGCTTGTACTGGTGTGACCCTTCAAGAATCTTCATTGTATTTATGTCAGTATAGTGAGAGCAGGTCACAATTTAATGCGAGTGTCTCGAGCTATTTTTGAGCCTCTGTAGTGTAGCGGCTCCATTTCATGTCAGGGTTAAAAAAATGCAGGATCTTATTTCAAATAATAATTTTTAAAAACTTCTTGAATGTCTTGAACCGGGCACACAGTTATTACATCTACAGTGAACAACTTTATTGTATAGTCTTCATACCCTCGTAAATTTGATGTTTTTGTGTTTTTCTTAGCTGCAGAAATAAAGGTGGACTTATTGACCTTTGCTAAAGATGCAAGCTTTAATATGTCACGTTCTTGAGAAATGTTGTAAATTTTTAGTGGATGTGAAATAAACTGAACTTGAACTTGAAATATGAATCGGAAAAAAAATCGATTTTTCTCATACTTTAATAAGAAATCCAAAAATTGGTAAGGGTATGAATAATTGCCCTGTTAACTGTATTTTATCCATTCAAAAGTGAGCGCTCCTTACCTTATCGACTCCCACTTTCTTGGGCGTCTCGGGCTGCGGCAGCACGGTCTCCTTCGTCCCGCGGCTCATCTTCCTCTTGGCCATGTCCACGAAGCTCTTCTTACGGGTCACACGCTCACTCGGGGAGTCCGATGACGCGCTGTTCCGATGTTTATTCCGGTTTTTCCGTGGCAGCGGAAGGGTGTTGAATTTGTATTTATCTGTAAAAGGAGGAGCGGGAGGTAGAAAAAGAAAAGGAAGTTGGGTTTAATGTGTCTGCATATTGTGGAATACATATGGTTTGTGAAGAGCCAGTAGGGTGTCAGGTCTGTGTTAAAGAATAAAAGTTAACATCCTTCTGGCTCAAAAAGAGATACTGGTATGTTTTCAAACAATGTACAATGAATTCAGAGTTATTTGTCAGTTAGCCTACAAATGTACAAAAGCTTCTTGTAATTGTACATATACATTGTACATGTACAAATACTTCATCATCTTCTCAAAATATTTACAAGTATATTTCAAGAAAAAATGTGCCAATTCCATCATGAAAATGTGATAAATCAATCATTATCATAAGCATGATCCATAATCTGTAAGAAATCTTGTGTACGATGGCCCTGTACATACATGTACACAATGCATCAAAAGCATTTAAATTGGAATACAGCACAGATGACAGAGCAGATGACAGTGGCACTCACAAAGTGCTGAGTATTGAGCTCTTGGAAGCCAAAAACAAGCTTCAGAAAAAAATAAAGACACATCATCAACAAAGTCTCACCTCTTTACACAGAATATTGAAAAACAGCTCAAATACCACAGCAAAATTAATGCAGAATATTAAAATAGCTACCACAACAAAGCAGTAATTATTTTACAATGGCTGTATCTACATATATGATAGATCCCCAATAACCATTCTCGACAGCTGGTCGTTACAGTTGATGAAAATAACACGAAAATGGCAGAGAGACAATATCCACACCCACTTACACGCAGAATCTATAAATTACCACGGTATAAAGTCCAGGATAAATTCTTGAACCCTTTCCAATGTTTGCAGACAATGCACGCTACCTTTGCCAGACGATGTTTCACTTTTGGCCCTCGTGAAGTCTTTAATTGCATCACGCAGACAAAGTTGTTGCCAATTTGACAGGGCTACTAATAAAATGATGAGTAGGATTACCGGTGTTTATAAACAGTTGTATCATAAATGCTACCTGTCATTTCCGCCCTAACATGAAAACGCCCAATTCAGAGTACAGACAAACACGTATTGAATTTTAGATATGTTTTATTTACTATACTATGCTCATCAGATTGTTTGTATGTATGCATGTTTGTATTGTGTTTGTACACTGCCAAGTGAGGAAAACCTACCAACAGGAATTAATTTCCTTATGACGTCCTCGGGCACTTGGTGATATCTCTTACTTCCTTTGTCTCTATTTTTGTTTTTGTTTTTTCGTTTAACTTTGCCTGGAAATTTAAATAAATAAAATATAAATATATAAATAAATATAATGTTATTAAAGCGAAAGACCAGTTATGGCCATGCGATTGCATTGTGAAATCGATCAGAAAAGGTTGATCATCTAGCATAGATGTACTGCAAGGTTCTGCAATCATCAAAATGATAAGAAATTTGGCCAAGTCTTCATAAAGTTAGAGCAATGTACACAGAAAGATGTATATGGGACTACACACACGTGCGCTACACATGCATTTCATATCTCTCAACAGGCGAGAGATACACTAATTTACCAAATATATCAATTAGTAGGCGATTTCCCGTCAAAATTTTTATCATCATGTAATATTCAAAACATATTCTTTCACATGATTGGTAATAAGAGCTTCCATTTCATTTTTTGAAATTGGGGCGTTTCCAATACTGGTCTTTAGCTTTAAATTCCTTTTCCTTAAATATTGTAATTGTACACTTTTAACACTTCTTAAAACAAGCATCTGTAATTGTAATGCAAGTATAAATATTCAAGACTCAATCTGTTATACACAGTAGACCATCATTAAATGATGCAAAAACACATAAATATAAAAGTATCAGACAATTATGTCAGTTCAGAGGAAAAATATTAATAAAAACATTTTTTTGAATTGTTTCCCAAACATTATAGGGCAGTACACAACTCCAACAAAAAGGCAGTAATTTCTAACAAGAAAAGAATTTCATATTGTTACCCAAACAAACTACAGTGTATTAGTAGTTCCAATTTCACAGAACGTGCAAAACAAGCTAACAACACTTTGTGTACATGTACATGTATGTACATTCTGCAGTCCAAGTAAAGTAGGCCGGAATTTCACACCACTTCCTTGATTGTCAAAAGCAAATGAGAGCAACGTCCTCACCCTGTACAATGGACCAGTCTCTTAAACTTGAGACGTCCCTTTAATCTTGATAAGGATCCAATACAATAACTCTCTCCCGTTCACTTCCACGAACGTCACCGACTGACTCCCGTTACAACGTCCCATGCAGCCTAGCATTGACACTGACAGGGCTTCTCCGCTACCCTAACCCTAAGAGTGGTACCCTACGAACGAATGGTATGCCGTTCAAAAACAGACTGGTGATTCATGCCCTGCGGATACATGCCCTCTCTCTCTCTCTCTGGCTACGTCACAAGTATAAACCTCACCTACAATGGGTCGCCCCTTCTGTTTGATTAATCATAAATGTAAACAAACAACAATGGGAGCCCAGTCACGCTCCGGTGCCGTGATTAAAAATAGTGTCAAGTAAAATGACATAGACCAAACATTCAAAACCTACACGGCAGTGTTGAGTGAGTTCACTAACTTCACTTTCATGAGTAATGTGATTAATCATTAGTGTAAACAAGCAACTTGATCTTCAACTGCAGAGCAACACAAGAAGTAGAAGTGTGGAGTTATTCACTGTAGTCTGCACCAAACATTCAACGACTTCAAACTCAAAGTCATATTCGAACTTTAATACAGTGTACACAAAGTTCTCTTGTTGTCATAATACAAGTTATGTGCTGAGCTAAAAATACTCCTCTTTACGTCAGCTCAATCTGCTTGTACATGGAAAAGCGATGCACTCTGCTGGTCCTAAGTTTTAGAATTTACAGGAAACTTTTCATCTGAAATCATTCATCACGTAGAGTTGACACAATTCAAGAGAGATTGAAAACATACCTGTATCCAAAAGTCCTTTTTAATCACTGAATGAACATGTTGTGGCTTAGGTCACTCCAATTCCCACTCATGTATGAAATATGAACTTCACAAAGAGTCTTATACTCCCATATAAATAGCACTCTACTATATAGATTGTTTCAATCTTTTTTTTATTGCTATTCACCTAGTATTGGCATTGCACACACACACGGGTAAATGCAAATAAAGTATCAGCAATCTCGTTCAGAAAGCGAAAGATCTCCAACTAATACACTTCATGAAGACTCTTCAAAAAAGCATTTATACTTTGGAGGCCTACATGACAGCATTGACAGGAAGTCTATATGATTGAATAAAAATCTGTCATATGCCCACCCAACGACATTTTCACTGCCTGTGAAATGGCTCAATGGCCATGAAGCCCACACAATGCGAAAATTTCTATATGAAATATTTCGTCACAATAGACAAAGACCTTGATTATTCTATTGAGGTTTTGCACTTGACTTAAAGCACAACGTATTCAGAGAGAACCTATTTTTTTGTTATCTCTCACTTGTACGGTATCTGGAGTACTGAATCCGCGAGGTAACATGGTCAAATTATGTAGGCCACACAGCCTAAAAATTATGTATTGATCAATTTGAGTTTACACAGTTTCTACTGTCTGTGATGATTAGTTTCAGAAATGAGGAAATAAAATGTACCACACATATTTATTCAGGCACTCCACTGATCGTTCTGCACGAAAGGTGTAAGAGCTTTAAAATTAATATAAGACATAATCACTAATTCAATCTTTGATTATGCCAATAAAAAAGGTGTATGTCCCGCCTGACATGTACATAATACAAGTGCAGGGCCCCGTCTTACAAAGAGTTGCGATTGACCCAAATCAATCGCAAGTCCTTTAATCAATCGCAAGTTTGCAGTCTCCTATCTCTTAAGTACATAGTTGTGATTGATATCAACTCTTTGTAAGATAGGGCCCATGCAGGTAGCTAAATGTTCAACCAGTTTACAAAGATAGCAATTATTCAGGAGTATTATACATTGAAGAGCTAGCATACCTTTTCCACCTTCAGTCTTAAGATGTCAACTCTTTGATTTTCAGTTGGTCAAAGTTAGGTTCAAATCATACAGCACACAAATGACTTCCAATGATCCATTACACGCTAGCACACAGAGAAAAGCTTTAATTGAATGTCTCAATGAGGAAACGCAAGCAATGATTTCCTTGTTACCACACCTGCCAATTTACAGAGAGCGCGAACGAGAGGTACATGTACACCCCACACATCTATATTCTATAAAGGAAACATTCCTCTTCCACTTTTAGATATCGGGGGGAGAATGACGGCGGCAGACAGGGGAGTTATGACTACTTCCTGAGACGTCAAAGAAAATGCCGAGCGGTGAGAGAGCTGTCTGTCGCGTGTCTGCGAGGAGAGGATCCGACGTAGCATCCGCGGTCGCCGCCGCTGAACCTGCCTCGTTCAACGCAATTAAAGAAGATTAGTTAGAGTCTGAGTGTGTGGGGTATTCCCTTGGCAATGGTGAACTGGTTCTGCGAATGGAGCTTCAAGGAGGGAGGCTCTAGTGAATGCCGAGAATTAAACTGGAAAACTAAGATTTAAAGATTTGGTAAACCAATTGGCACTATTAGCTTTGCAAATTTCATTCTGCTTTTAGGGCTCTAAATTTTTTTTTAAAAGCTGTTCATTCAATGTTTAATCCCACCCTACTCTCAGTTGTGTCTGTCATCACACTTTTGTAATCCTCTGCACATTCAATATTGTTGTCCCCCTCTCTTAATGTTCAATACCCCAAAACAATGATAAAAATAATAGTAGTAGTAGTGGTAGTAACAACAATAAATAATGATATGATCATGATCATTATGATTCTAAAAATTCATTTCATTACTGAAGTTATGGAGCACCTTTCCCATGCATATTGCTAATAGCATAATGATGTAAATTTACACTTTTGTTTTTCTCTTTATATTCCTATTTTTCCACACCCATACAAGGGCTGCTTTGACAAC